TTGCTCCTGCCTAGCTGTTCCATCGAGGGAAGAATGGGGTGTCTGCCTTGGCCCCATACCTCAGAGCCACCTGAGTGTTCATGCTCCATAATACAAAGAGAGGTGAATCAATGGGATGGTGCTTAGCTCATCAAGTGACAGGAGGCAAAATGGGATGTCATGTACCCATATCCTTGGTACCATGGCTTGGCATGTGGATGCCTAATAAATAACAATGCCTAATAAATAATAATGGTGTTGCTTATTCTTATTGCCTTTGAGGCCAGACCCTGGCGATCTGGAGATGAAAAGATGTGCTTGCTGCTCTCATAGGGCACATAGTCTGGTGATACTGCGGTCCAGCCCAGCACACCTGTGTTCTCAGGAGAGAAAGCCAGCTTCTCTCCTCCTTTCTCCCTGTAATAGTCTCTCTCTCTCAGAGAGCATCGAGGACGACATAGAAGGCAGGGGAATGAAATTTGGGGGCTAGATGATCCCTTGGAATGGTATGGAAGGGAGCATGCTTGAAGATCTAGGAACTGAGGAAGAAGAAGAAAGTCTGAACTCGGAAGGGCTGGGGAGAAAAGGCTAAGTTTTCCCTGGGCTTGCTGGTCTCCGTGGGGTCAGTTCCGGTCAGGCCATGATGGGCGTTCAGGGTAACTCTAAAGACCTGACACAGGGCTGGCCTTCAAGAAGCACAGAGTTGGTGTGGCGGTTAAGAGATGGTTAAGAGTTATTTTCTAGCTGTTTGACCTCTGTTAAGTTATTTAACCTCTCTTGGCCTCAGTTTTCTTGTCTGTAAAACGGGAAAAACAATATTGTATGGTTTTTTTGAATTTGGAATAGCATAATACAGAAATATTTATTGTTTCACTTTATGTGTGAAATCTGAAATAACTCAAAATCCCCACATTAAAAGTTTGTCAAGGGCTGGCCCTGTGGCCTAGTGGTTAAGTTTGGTGCACTCCACTTTGGCAGTCTGGGTTCAATTCCCCAGCGTGAACCTATAACACTCATCTGTCAGTGGCCATGATGTGGCAGTGGCTCCCATATACAAAACGAGGAAGATTGGCAACAGATGTTAGCTCAGGGTGAATCTTCCTCAGCAAAAAAAAAAAAAAAAAAAAGTTTGTCAAGAACTTTGCAAGGCAGCATGACTTGTAAATTGGAAACCGCATTTACGCTCTAGCTACATGATTGCAATATTCCCACAGGTAAACAGAAAAACCTGCCCTCCTTCAGCAGGTGAGTTTTGAATTACACTAGCGTGAACTATTTGTGGTCTTTAGGAATGTCTCCCTGGGTAATTTGATTGCTCATACCTCCATTATAGAGTAATTGTGAATATTAAATGAAATGATGCAGTAACCAGCCCACAGGAAGCAGTTGGTAACAGTAGTGTTATTCTGATATAATAATATGTAAAAACAATGAGGGCTATGATAGACTGGGAGAGATTAAAACAGCAGGCCCAGGTAGAGCTGTAGAATGGGGAGGAGCTGAACAATTGTGAGTTTTGGGATAAACGGCATTGAAGGCAGTTAGCACTACTGACGCAATTTTACCGCATGGCGTGCATGCAAAGGGCACGATTTCTACAGGTGTGCCACACTTTAAAAAAGCTTACACAATTCGAATTTAGTCATTCAATGACAGCTTTTTGTTAAGATCGCAACAAACTTGTTAAGTGCGAGAACCTCTGGCTGAGAGGGATTAAAAAGCTACGGAAGATGGCCCTGCCACTGAAGAAATGAGAATCTAGAACAAATGACTTATCAGTGTTCTCGTGGTCTCATGCAAACCACAGACGACACTGTGCACTTTTTTTTTGGAAGATTGGCCCTGAGCTAACATCTGTTGCCAATTTTCCCTCTCTTTTTTTAAAATTTTAAAAAATTTTTCTCCCCAAAGCCCCAGGACTTAGTTGTGTATCCTAGTTGTAAGTCCTTCTAGTTCTTCGAGTCCTTCTAGTTCTCAGCATGGCTTGACAAGCGGTGCTAGGTCTGCACCCAGAGTCTGAACCGACGAATCCCGGGCTACCGAAGCGGAGCACAAGAACTTAACTGATACATCACTGGGCCGGCCCTGCTATTGCTTTTTAATTTGAAATTGTTGCCAATGTAAAACTTGGGAGATTTTATGTTAAAATCAAGATTTCCAGGTTTGCTTGAGAATCTGGAGTATCTAGCAACATTCCAGCAGGGCACCAAATGGTTGCCCTTTGAGACAGGGTGACACGGGCTGAATTGTGTTCCCCAGAATTCATATTTTGAAGTCCTAACCCCAGAACCTCAGAATAGGACTATATTTAGAGATAGGACCTTTAAAGAGGTCATTAAGGGAAAACGAGGTCATATGGATGGGTCCTAATCCAATATGACCTGTGTCCTTATAAGAAGAGGAGACTAGGACACCACACACAGACTGAGGGATGACCATACGAGGTCACACGGAGAAGGCGGCCATCTGTAGGCCAAAGAGAGAGGCCTCAGGAGAAACCAAACCTGCCGTTACCGCAATCACGGATTTCTAGCCTCCAGAACCGTGAGGAAATAAGTTTCTGTTAAGTTGCCCAGTCTGTGGTATTTTGTTATGGCAGCCCCAGCAAACTAATACACAGGACCTATATTCTCAGCGTCCACAGTCCTCACCACTCCCACATGTCGTGCATCCCATTCACTTAGGCATCACACATAGCTGCTGGCGGCATATGAGTTTGTAATCTCTGATCTACAGGAAAAGGGTATTCTCCATGAATGTTACATGTTCTTATTTCAAAGCTTTGATGTTTATTTCCTCCTTTAATTCTCCCCACAGTTCTAAGAGGCTGACACTATCATCCCTACTTGGCAGAAGAAAAAACAGAGCTCAGAAAAGTGAAGTCATTTTTCCCAGGTCAAAGCTGGGAGGGAACCAGGCTGGATGACTCAGGGTCCAGGGCTCATGTCGCTGTACTCTGGCCCCTCTGCCTGAGCACAGGACCCACGAGCAGAAAGCCTTAACGAACAGGGCAGCTCTGCGTGCGTGTGTGAGAGAAGTAAGTCATTACAGCAACGCGCAAATCCAAGGGAGGATTATATCCCTGAACTTGACTGACAGAAACCTGATTTACGCAGGAGTTCATCTCATGGAGGCAAAGCCACATTGGCAGGCCTTTGACGTGGAGGAAGGAGTGGGGGAAGCGGTGAGTGTATTACAGGGACTCTGTTGCCCCAATGATGAACATTCGGGAATAGTAAGCATCAGAGACGGGAACTGTAGAGAGAAGGTTCAGTTGTCTGTGGCCCATCAGCAGATGAGGATGAGAAGGAACAGCAAGACAGGGAAGAAGAGAGGAATTTCCAGAGAAGGAAGTAACTTCTTGGGGGAACTGCTGAATATTTGATGGAGGCAGACCAGCTTCAAAGATGACCCCAGACTTGTGAAAGAAATCTCGATTCATTTGTACAATGACACACTGTGACGCCATTATAAGAACCAAGTAGGTCATACATGCAGATATGGAAAGATAGTCAAGATACACTGTGAAAGGGAAAAAGCAAGTTGCAGCATGGAAAGTAAGGAATGTAAAGTATGATTCTCTTTGAGTTAAAAAAAGATAGATACACAAATGTGTATATGTATATATATATATATATGGGAAATCTCTGAAAGGACACAGCATCTTGTAGAGGGGTTACTTCTTAGAATTAGGAATGAGTGTGTGGGCTTTTACTTTTCACTTTGCACCTTTTTGCACCGTCTGAGTTTCTTATGATGAGCATTGTTAGTTTTATATCATTTAAAGCAAAAGGTAAGTCTAACATTCAAGCATGAAAGACAGGCAAGGCTAGTGTTCCTGCCAGGGGAAGGGGAGAAGACAGACATTTGGGAAGAAACAGACTCTGTGGGGCATTTGCTATGTTAGAATGAAGGGCAGTAGTGATGTTCTGAAGAGTATGGAGGGTCTGAGGAGCTGGCAGTTGAAAGTGGGCGTAATGGATAGGATTACCAGATAACAGAACAAATCGGAGGAGAATTGTGCAGATGGTAGGGCAGAAATGCAAGGTAAGAGAGGACAGACATTGAACAATGGTAAGTGAGCATCAGCCTTGGGCTGACATAGACAGGACGTTGTTGGTACTATTGCCGCTGGTTCAGTGTGGCAGGCACACGAGGGTCTCTGGGAGATGGCCAGTCTAAGGAGAGGACTCTTGAAGGGTCGCAGGCAGGAGAGCTCAGTGGTCAGAGAGCAGAGGGGGATTGCACCGAGGTTGTGCAAAGGACTTGTGGTGTTAGGGGAGAGACCTGGGCTGGAGTCTACTGGGGGCCATTGGGATCATTCAGCTGAGAGAGACAGTCCTGGAATGGGGCAGTGGCGGTGGGGATGGAGAAATAAGAACAAAGTAAGTAAGCTGAGGTTTAGAGACAAGTCGTTTACGGGAAGAGGGAGGGTGAAGAGAGTTGTGAAGAATTGGGTGCAAATCTCAGCTTGCCGTTTAGTACATTTTCAGCTCAGTTTGCCCATCTGTATGATGCATTTAATTAAAGAAATGTTGTGAAGAGTAAATGAGACAATGCACTCCATAAATGTTAACTGTTAGCTGGGGTATTGGACTCAGACTTACTAAGGTTCAAATCCTTTTACCACTAGTTACTAGCTGTGCGATCCTGAGCAAGTCATTAACGTCTCTGAGCCTGGTTCCTCCTTTGTAGATGGGGATAACCTGTTGTCACAGAAATGAAACAGCACACGTAGAGGGCTGGCAGGGCCTGGCACAAAATAGGCACGAATAAGTGGCAGAGCTATTACGATCAGCAGGTAAATCCCTGAGCACAGCCCTGACACGCAGTAAGCGCTCAGCAGACGTTAATTCAGGTTGTAATTCGCAAGGCAGAGGTGAGAGCCAGGAATCCGGGGGCTGCCGGCCTGCAAACAGCGGGTGTTCGCAGCACTCCCCCTCCTGCCCCGCCCAGCCCCGCGAGGCCTCCCCTCCGCGCCCGCACTTTCCGCCCCGGCCGGACAGCGCGCGGACACTCACCCTCGCTCCCGCCGGCCACGTCCCGGGGCGTCCGGAGCGACGAAGCCCTCGGCCGTGCTCGCGACCCCGCCTCCCGCGGCAGCTGCGGCCCGGCCGGCGCCCGCCCCAGGCATACTTTTCCCATCCCGTCATGGGCGGGGGCGCCTTCCTCCGGTCACGTGGGCCCGCGAGAAGCTCCGCGCTCTCTCTTCAGCATCGGTTGCGGGCTCCCAGGGCTAGTGACAGCTTGCGTGTGTCGATGAATCTCTGTGTGTAGAACTTATCAGTGTATTTGAAAGTTTACGTGCACGAGAGTGATCGTTACGCAGGCGTTTGCAAGGGTGTGGGTACGTCTGCGTGTGTCAAGAGCCATCTGTGTTGCTTGCACGTGAACATGCATCTCACTGAGGATCTGAGGGTGCTGGGGGCAGGACAGCTTATAACAGAGTACCTTTTCCTGCGTACTGAACGTGCGTGTACTTGAGAGTGATCATGAATCGCGTGTGCGTGCTTAGTTATCTATGTGTGGGCATTCATAAGTGCATGTGTCCACACGTGCATCAGGGCTGGTGTATGTACATATACACACCGTGTCCAAGACTGCAGCTTGGTGTGCAATTGGAATGTACTTCAGTTGCTGAGTACACACGATAGTGGCTGACTGTGTGTTGGTGCATGTTTAAATGTTTGTATGAGAGTGCATAACCACATATCAGTGTGCATGTGCATAATGCATGTGTGGTACCTGTTTGTGCAGTGGCTCATCCTGTGTGTGTGTATATGTAAGCAAGCCTTGGTGTGGACTTTGTCCAGACGTGAGTGTGCACGTACATAATAGTGTGGACAGGTACCCATGCGTGATAGCCCTCAGCTCTCTCCTCCCCAGAAGATGAGGCCTCACTAACTCTGGCCCAGCCTCGTTACTGGGAGAGGTGTGTGTGCCTGCTGGAGGGTCTCTGCTCCAGAGCAGGCAGAGCCATCCTGCTCAGGTAGCAAGCAGACACTAGAGAAGAGAAGAATCATCAGAAGCCTGACTTTTGCTTCTCCCTGTTCCGTCCACTGCTCTCTTTCACCAGCTACCAGTATTTTGCTCAGCTGCCAGAGCATCTGGTTAACAGATTGTATATAACCCAAGGTTTACAGTCAGAATTTTAATGCAGATATGCATTCGAACTCTAATGCTGGTTCCAATACCTTAGACAAGTCAGTTACGTTATAGATGCTGTTTCATTTTCTGAAATGTAGGGAGAATAATGATGATATTACTGCATTGTCTTTCCTCCCAAAGTTGGGGCACTCACTCGTAAAAGTGTTTGGTAAGCCACTGAACTATGTAGAGAATTATTGTTAATATTACATAAATATTATTTGAGGATGAAAGTTAGTGGGCTCAACAAACATTCACTCAACAAACATTTAATAAGCATCTATCATGTGTCAGTCCCTGAGCTAGGTGCCAGGGATATAGAGGTAAACCAAATAGATATGGTGCCTATCCTCATGGAACTTAGGGTCTAGTGGGGATGACACAAGTGGTTCCAAGTGAAATGAGTGTTACAGTAGAGAAAAACATTGTGTATACAACTGGGTGGTCAGGGGAAGGCCTGGGGAAGAGATGTTTCCATTGAGCCCTGAGGGATGACTGTAACTTGTCCGGTTGTAGGGGAGGAGTGTGCAATGAACATGACTGAAAGACGACATGTGAAGTAGAGTTTGGTGTGCTGATTCATATATGGCTGGAAAGGGGACCTCCATCCACCACCCCCTGTGGGCACCTTGGTCTGTCCCCAGATGAGTCAGGGATGGAAAGGGTGAAGAAACTCTGTTCACAATGCCTGGAGGCTATCCAGAATCTCGAAGGCTCAGGAAAGCCCGTCTTCCAGGGTGCAGTAGGAATCTCCGTGTGTTACCCACGGGGCTCCATGGCGACAGAAGTTGAAATCACTGGCATGCTCTTGTGGAAAGGAAATGGTGAATGAAAAGTATAGGGAAAGGCTGTGGTGCCATACTTTTACAACAGTAAATGTTTACTGGCTGAATGAATGGGAGTGGATGTTTATCCAACTTTTGGAGGAGCGCTGGAACCCAGGTCTCCTGGAGTCGAGCAGTCCTTGGGGCCTTGTCCTGTGGGTCCTTGCAATGGAGATAGCTTCACGTAGCAGGAAATCCAAAATACGCATGAAATGGCTGTTCCAGGAGCTGCCTCAAGCTAGAAGGGACCTCAGGACTTCCTCCCTCTAGCCTGTGTCTGTCTTTAATTCAATCTGAAAACATTTATGACCTATTATGAGTGTGGGGACAAGGAGATGAACTTCTGGTCCACATGGAAAATGAATGAGAACACAAATTAAGAAGCAAAATGCGATAGCACCACAGGAAAGGTACAGCGTCCTATAAGAAATGAGGAGGCTTTCCCCTTTGTTTGATTCATTTCATTTCACAGTTCCATTCGAGTCTGGAGAACATGTCCAGCATCGAATGAGAGAAGATGAATGACATTATGACACTGACGGCCACAGAGAGTTTACAATCTGGCAGGGGCAGCCATGTGCCAGACGTGGTTGATTGGCTTGTTTCACACCTGTTCAAACCTCTCTCAGGTGTGCCTTCCTATGCTACAGAGGCTGGAATGTAAAAACCCGTTTCCTAGACTCCTTGCTGCTGGGGTTCTCATTGTAATTTAGGTTTAGCCAGTCCTGTGTGCTTCTGCGAGACCTGAGTTCAAAATTGAGTTAGGAAAAAAAATTGAGTTTGATGGAGAGGAGGCAGCAGCTTGGGAGGAATCCACTTGCTGATGCTGACCCAAAAGGGGCAGTATGGCTCTGGAGTCCTGGCAGCAGCTCCGGGTCCCCAGATTACACCTCAGATGGTGTGTTCCTGTAGCCAGCGGCTGGGCCAGTCTCTCCCTCAATTCCTAGCTTCCATATTGTGCCAGAAATAGTAGTTCCCTCGGGGTGTCAGTACTGCGGTGGTGTTCTGGGAGTCATTCCCGGAGGCCCAGGCCGGAACTTGCTGGGCAGTGATTCTGAATTCTCTTGACTCTCTTTATTAAATCCTGTCTGCTGAAAATTGCTAGAAGGGTGTTGCATCTCACTTGAACCCTAACTGATCTGTCATGCTGTGAACTCTAGATCCTGTGAAAGTCAGAGAAGGGAGATGAGGGTGGGTCAGAGCGAGCAGGGGAGAAATCCAGAGGACTGCCTTCCTTTCCTCTTTCAACCCCACCTCCTATCCTCCAGCTCTCTTCAATCCCATAATCAACCTTCACATTAATCAATCGATTAAATATGATATGACTGTGATGCAAAACGCACTCTGCTTAATGTTGGGGTCACAGTAAGGAACAGATAAGCGAGGCCTCTGTCTCCATGATACTTATGAGGAGACGGATGTTCAACCATCGCCCAAATAAACATGTAAGTCAGAGTTGTGGTTTAGAGTTAGGAAGGAAAAGAAGAGGGAACTGTGGGAGACGATGATGGACGTCTGTGAGAGAACTTATTTTGATTGGGAGATCTGTGAAGATCTCTTGAGTAGGTAACATTTAAGCTGAGTTGCAAAGGATGAAAAATGGCCAGCTATGCAAAGCTGGCAAAGAAGGAGCAGAGAGTATCAAAGCCATGTCAGCCTTTCTCCACATCTTTGTAATGCTCGCCTGTGGAATAGTTGCAGGATAAAGCCTCAACTCCTTAGGCTTTCTGGAGCCTCACTAACTGGAAGCCCTCTTTGATTTGACATCTTCCCAGCCACTTCTCCTGTAGGGCCATGTTTCTCAACCTCAGCAATACTGACATTTGGGGCTGGATAAGCCTTCGTTGTGGGGACTGTCCTGTGCATTGTAGGATGTTTAGCAGGATCTCTGGCCTCTGCCCTCTAGAAAATAGTAGCAGCTCTCCCATCCCCAGTTGTGACAACCAAAAACGTCTCCAGACATTGCCAAACGTCCCCAGAGGGGGAAAATTGCCCTCTGTTGAGAACCACTGTCCTGTGGGCAGCCTTGCTTTTGTCAGGGTGGTCTTCTTGCTGACTCCCCAAAGCACCATCAACTTCTATGTTTCTGCACCTCCACTTATGCTGCTCCTCTAACTATCTCCAACTCTTCTGCTTCTCCACAAAGACTCATCCACATGTCTACTAGAAACTCATGGCTTTTATCTGCCCAGTACCCCTCTGTCCATTGGGGAACTCTGTTTGGATGATTCTCATGAGTATTGGTGGTGGGACGAGTGGTCCATCCTAGTGCTCTGCCTGCCCTCTGGCTGCAGGGGCAGGGCACCATGTGGACCAGGTATTCTTTTCTTTATGCCCAGTTATGAGCCCAAACAGTGGGCATGAGACCCAAGCAGAGCCAATCAGAGTCTTTCCATGTGATTTCCACCAGAGGGCATTGCTTTGCTTCTGAATTGTTAACTGTGAGGCTATAGCTCTGGGCTGCCACTAGCGTATTTCCTGCCACTTGGAGAGAGCCTGCTTATGGCGGGAGACAATGTTATCAATACACAAATAGAAGCAGATTCAGGAAGTGAAAGGTAGAGAGAACAGTGCTGTGACCATATTATTAGAGCCCTTTGTTCAGATACTTGTACTAAAATAGTCACATTCTCATATTCTTTCTCTCCCTTTCTTTAAGCTAGTTTGAATGGTTTCTGTCAGCTACCATGGAAAGAGTCCTAATACAGTATCCTTCAAGGCCTAATACAAATCTCTCCTCTTTCATGAAGTCTTTTCAACACAGAACTGAAGAAAATTCTTTGAATTCCTAACTGGTGGTTTGCTGAAGCCAGCAGCTAATTCTGTGCCTCTTTCCAACTCTGAGTTTAGTGATGTCATGTTGGCAGTTTGAAATCATCAAAATAGTCAATTACACTACAGAAATCAGCAAATGCTACAAATCAAGGCTCTCTTTCTCCCAACCCAGCCCCCAGCCTGTTTACCAGCACACCACTGTCTAAATTGCTTCTCAATTGTACCACCCATTTGGATATTAATAATGTACTGATTTGTGACATCTCTTGCCTTTTGAATTTGGTGATGTTGGGAGAAGTGCCCCTGACCTACACTGCATTTGTAGCTTCAGATTCTCAAAGGAGGAAAGGTCCTGAGAAATAATTTGGTCTGTGGTCTTCATTTTGCACATGAGGACAAAGAAGTCCAGAGAGCTTCAGCGGTTTGGTAGGTAGTTGTGGAGTGAAGACAAGGAAAGTCTAAGATCTTGACTTAGATCCATTATGAAAACGTAGGTCTTCCTGGGCTCCCTTTTTGCCTTTTTCAACCCTTTCCTTTCTCCAATTCTCATACAAAAGAGAGTTTAAAAACAATTATTGAATCATTCCAAACACCTAATGGCCAAGACCCAAGCTGACAATGCTTACTTTCAACAAGGGGCTTTGGGGCTGCGAAATTCTCTAGAATGAGATCATTCCAGATGGAGTCTCACTAATGTGGCAGCACTGGGGAGACAGCTGTTGATAGAAAGGACATGCTGCCATTGCACAGAAGGACGGTGATGTTGGAGTGAGTGTTGGCTGCTCTGTGTATTATATCACTTAGATGATAGCTGAAATGCAAGGAAAGGTGACAGATTTATAATAATTAAAAATATGCATTTTTTGACAGAGGTGTTCTATTTCTAGTAACTCATCCTGGAAGTGAATATAGGGATATTCATTGCAACCTTGTTTGAACTAATACACGACTGGAAACACTCTAAATGTCTAGCAATAGGGGACTAATTAAATAAATCATTATACATATATACAGAGAGGCAGAACTCTATGTACTATTTTGGAATTATCTCCAGGATATGTTGTTTAGTGAAAAAAATAAGGAGCAGAACAATGTGTAGTTTGCTGTTATCCAAATTAAAAAAAGAAGAGGTGAGGAAAATGCACATAAACACATGGATGTATGAGCATAAGCAATCTGTAGAAGGATATACAGAAAATTGTAACACAAGACATTGTATCTGGAGAGGGGAATTGGAAAACAGTGGTAAGAGGGAGACTTATTTTTCATGGTAGGTCTTTTGGAGCAGCTTGATTTTTAAAAACATGGGTATCTATTACATATTCAACACCCTTCCCATCAATAAAATAAAAAATAAAGGATATATTGTGTTGCAGTTCTTGGAAATTCTTCCTTTGCTCTTATGGATGAGTTGGATCTGGGGATGTGGCAAACCCCTTACAATTATACCCTTTTTTTTTTTTCTCCTATGTAAGAGTATTTTTTTAAAAGCTCTGGAAGAATACATATCAAACTCATGACGGTGGTAACTTCAGGCAGAGGGATTATATGCTTTCTTTTAAAAAAAAACCTTTCAAAGAGCAGTCTGTTCCAACCTTGCAAGTGTGGGACAAGTATTTCTCTCATCATACAGCCAGAGGAACGGAGGCACAGAAGCAGGCCTCCCCCGGTCACGCAGTGGGGGAGGTGCAGGTGGGGAGAGCTCAGATCTTGCCCAGGCAGACATTCCTTCTACTGGACCACATTTAGCTGGGCAGAGGCTCCAACAAGCAGAGCAGTTGTCACAGGAAGGAAAAGGAGACCCAGGGAGTTCTGAGAGGCTCTTCTGGCGTAAGCTTTGAGGAAAGTTAGAGCCCTGAGCCAACTAGCGTCCCAGAGCAAATGAAGTCAGACCAAAATAGACACCACTTACATTCAGCAGGAAATGACCCAGAAAAGATCCAATCCGTTTCCAGATGTTATTTGAAGGGCCTCAGTTGGAGAGACTTCATTTTGGAAGCTGAGGCAAAAAGCTCTTGATAAGGTTTCTCAACTCAGAGTGTGGATCAGAAGCGAGCAGGCATTTGATTGGAGGGAAATGCGCTGCTATGGAGGTTGAGAGGCTTCTGTTTTATGGAATCAAGGTTTGAGAAAGCAGCCTATGAATGAGTATAGAAACCAAGGCTTTGCCATCTTTTGTCAGCATAATTTTGGGAAGGAACATGAGAAATATAGGGTCTATTCCTGCCTTTTGGCTGGGAAGAAAAGCAGAAATTTCAGATTGAGGAAATGAGGCATGATTAAACTGTATAAATGAGACTGAGCTAGAGGATAAAAAAATTTTTATGTGTTAGCTGTTGTGAAGTAGGAGACTAATTTCTCTAAATCTTGTATTTCAGAGACGTCTACAGATTTATTTTACATAACACTCAGAAGACACTTAGCTCTACATGTCTCATCCACTTATGATGGGTATAATAAAAACTAAAAACCTTGAAGCAAACAAGAGTGTGTCTAATGTGCTACTCCTTATGAAGGAGAAAGGTTACACTCACAAACACACACACACTTGTTTATGTGTAACCATCTCTTTAAAGATACCTAATCTGGTAAGAGCGGCTGCCTCTGGGGAGAACCGTGGAGGCGAGAGACGAGGTGGGAGGTACAGCCTTCGCTGCACTGTTCAATTTACCCTATGCCTGTATTATGTATTAAAAATAAAACATAGTCTTAAAAAAGTGGAAAGAGAAAAACATCCCTTTACAATGGAGAGATCAGGTGGCCATTCTGCTAACCACACAAGGAAATTTTGCATCACCAAGGCTAAAACAACCTGACATTATACGGTGCATTAACGGTTTTAACCTAAATTTAATCAAGCCTTCAGACCTAACCTCTGATTAGCAGAAATCAAAGGAGATGACATAGGAGAAAGCAATCCAGAGAGTGGGACATTCTTCAAAATGTTGTCAGAAAAAAATTAGGTGGTTCAAAAAAATTAGGAATAAAAGATATTTTGAGGGCAACTGGAGAAACTTTGAATATGGCCTGAGTATTAGGCAATTATTAGAGAATCATTAATTTTCTTGGGTGTGAATAATGGTTTTGTGGTTGTATAGCATAATACCCTTATTCTTACGAGATGCATGCCAAAGTAGGAGGGGTGAAGAGACATGATGTAGGAAATTCACTTTAAAGTGGCTCCAAAAACACACCTGAACACACGAACACACAGAGTTGGTTATTAAGCTATAGTCTCTTAGCTTCAAACTAGGCCATGAGATGCCAGGGCTGGGACTTTGCAAATCACAGTTCTCCTTTGCCAGCTGGCCTTCTGCTTGTCTTCCAGTTGGGGCACTAGAAAGAGACCGGAAGTCCAGAGGAGTGGAAAGGAACCCGCTCCTTTCTGTTTTGCTTCCTGTTACTGTCAGCCTCACCGGAGCAACAGTTCCTCACCCTGGCAATTAGAGAGTTATTTCCTGTAGGAGCAGCTGGTTCAAATTTACATTTTTTCCACACTCTCAGAACCAGCCTCATTATGCTTCTTCAGACATACCGGTATCAGCTGGCAGATGTCTTCTCTGTCCCAGCTCCATGGGCCTCTTCATCCAAGTCTCTCAGTTGTATTAATCCCAAGCTCTTCTCCTTGTTCTCCCAGCCCTAGGATGGTAACTTTCTGTATTTACTACAGTATTCCTTTTGCCTTTCCAGCTCTCCAATACTCGGTTAACAATTCTTTACATTAAATTCTCTCTGCAAAAGTAACTGGTGAGGTTTGTGTCCCCTGACTGAGCCTTGACTGATACAGAAATCGGTACCAGGAGCCTCAGGAAACAGACCCTCCAAGATGGAATTTTTTCACATGCCTGGGTTAGTCTTCAGATTTGAATGCAATGTTGAGCTCCTTGTCATGGAAAGGGGATGCTAGTAACCCATGGCATGGAGTGGTACTGATTAGTCAAATTATTGACTGTAGATTATTGTGATAAAGAACCTCCTGAAGCAGGTGCCTGGCGACCAAGCGGCTGCCTGGAATAATGATGACTACAAGGACTGTGGGGTGGGATGCCTTCTTCTGAGTGCACTGAAGTGCTTACAGAAAGAAAAGGACACACTCAGCTATTTAAAATCTCAGCTCAAGTCTCAGTCAGAGAACTAGAGAGAATCTATGGCAGTTCTGAAATATCTCAAATCTTTTGTAGCTGCAAATTCAGACACAATATTTAATTGTGAGGGTTGCAGAGTTAAATGTAAATTGAATTCACAGCCTCCATCTTTCAGTGAAAGTTAGGATGAGGATTGGGAACTGTCCGCAAGATTTGGAATGAGAACATCTGCATGGACTCAGACGAAGCTGAAAATCTTAACCCCTAAGTCACTCTGAGCCTGCCTTGCCTTCACCTTCCATGTCTGAGAGTAGCCTGAAGTCCTTGTAATAACCTCACCTGAGGCAAGTGCCTTTCAAGGAGATGCCTATACTCTTCAAGACCGACCCCACCTACTTCTTGTTGCCACTAGATGCCTAACTAGGGTGAAATCCAGCATATTCCAAGGGAACAAGTACAAAGTCTGATCCCAAAGGAAAGATTTTATAATCCAAAGAACAGCAAGACTTTTCTAATCGACATAGGCAGAAACCTGGTGAGTATGTGTGGGAATGGCATTCTAAGAGCATTAGACTAAAGAGCACAGAATATAATAGGCCAAATTTACCGATACGTGCATACTTATCAGCGATTCTGGATTTAATGTTAGCTTGCATTAAGAATTTATTTACTTGGATGACAGAAATTTGGACTCAACAGTGACTTAAATATAATGAGTTTGAGATCCCAGAACTTCCCTGGCATAATGTGGAGAAAGGAATTCAAAGACTTAGGGAGATAGAAATGTTGGAGCAAACTTACCAGGTGTGACCTTCAACCTTCCCTCACCCACTACCCCCCACTACTTTATGGTTCAAGGGGGCCCAGAGGACACTCGTTCACTAGGTATTGAGCAATACATTAAGGAGTCCACCAATACCCTTGACAATCTCTGTGGTGGTTGTTCTCCGTAGGCTGGTTTGATGGCAGAAGATGCTGCCACTGAGATGAGTTCACTGACTGCAGTGAGGTTGATGGGATCCTAGAGTGGCAGAGTCCAAGTGGCAGCATTCTGTCATTAGAGATAAGGCAGATGCATTTAACAAAATGCACACCAGGGACAAAATGGTAATTAGAATGTTTTGACCCACAGGGATCATTGATAGTAGCTGTCATGGTTAATTCTATGTGTTAACTTGGCGGGGTGACCGTGTGCCCAGATATTTGGTCAAACATTATTCTGGGCGTTTCTGTGAGGGTGTTTTTGGATAAGATTAACACTTAAATGGATGGACTCTGAGTAAACCAGATTGCCCTACAAAATTTTGGTGGGCCTCATCCAATCAGTTGAAAGCCTGAATAGAATAAAAAGACCAAGCTCCCCTAAGCAAGAAAGAATTCTCTAGCAGACTGTTTTCAGACTACAACTGCAGCAACGGCTCTCCTGGCTCTCTGGGCTGCTGGCCAAAACCCTGCAGATTTTGGACTTGTTAGCATCCATAATTCTCTGAGCCAATTCCTTATAATCATATATATTCATATCATCCTGGTTCTGTTTCTCTGGAGAACCCTACTAATACATTAGCTAATTGGTACAGTGGATCTAGGAATGAAATAGATGGGCAGTCTACTAAAATATTATTTGATCTATACAACAGGAAAAACTCTTAGGTCTGATGCTCAGAAATCTGACTAAAGTTACTACAGAGAGAGTCATAGCCTCTCCTTGTTTCCAGACCCAAGGCAGTTTTCAGATCCAGAGTCCCCTGATTGGCGGATGTGCTGAGTTCCCTTAAGGACTCCACAACACTGCCACAAGTATATACTATAAACCTTTCTCCAAGACTTCCCCAGAGATCTGCAGTGTTTAAAAGGATGACTGCGTATTGCAAAAAAAGAAAATCCTCAGCTCTTTTGGGGATTAATAGGCACTGGCCCTGAACTAATTCTAATTCCTGGGAACCTAAAACTCTATTATAGTCCATCAGTCAAGGTGGGGGCTAATGGTGGTCAGGTAATGAATGAAGTATTGGCCCAAGTTTAACTTACAGAGAGCCTAGTAGGTCTAAGAACCTAGAGGTTACAGCTCCAGTTCTTGAATGTGTACGTGGAATACACATACTCAACTACTGGCAGAATCCCCAAATTTGCTCTCTGATCCATGGAGTGAGGGCTATTGTGGTAAAAAGGGCGAAGTAGAAGCTCCCAGAAATTCCCCTCCTTACTAAGGTAGTAAGCAATACCACATTCCTAGAGGAAACTGCAGATAAGAGTCCCACCATCATAGCTTAATATCTATCACATTCACCTGTTTGTTCTGTGCAGGTTGATGGATCTGGAGAAGGACTATGGATTACTGTCAGCTTAATCAGGCGATGACTCCAATTGCAGCTACTGTTCCAGATGTGGTATCTTTATAAGAGAAAAATCAATATAACCTCATATACCATTAGTGACCTGGTAAGTGCTTTTCTTTTTTCTATACCAATTGGCACTGCCACCAGAAGTTTGTCTTTACTTTGCAGAACCAAGAGACCATCTTCACAGCCTTGCCTTAGGGCTACGTCCACTTACTGTCTGCTGCAGTATAAACTGCAGAGACCTTGATCATCGGACATTTCACAGACCATCATACTGGTCCACTTTGCTGATGACATGCAGATTGGATCTGATAAGAAGGTAGTAGCAAGTACTTTAGATGCCTTAGTAAAATATATGTGAGTCAGGGAGTGGAAGATAAACCCCATAAAGATTCAGGGACCCACCCATCTTAGTGAAGCTTCTGATGTGCTAATCGTCTAGAGCATGTTTCAACAGTCCATTCCTTTTCTATCTTTTTCATTGAAATGTATTTGACATATAACATTGTGTAAATCAAAGGTGTACAATATGTTGACTTGGTACATTTGTATGTTGTAATATGATTGCCATGTAGCGGTAGTTAGCACCTCTATCACTTCAGATAATTATCATTTCTTTCTTGTGGTGGGAATAATTAAAATCTAGTTTCTTAGCAAGCTGGATGATTACAATACCATATTGCTGTTTATATTGTAATAGTCCTTCCAAGGAGAAAGACAAGTTGCTGTACCTCACATCACCTACACTACAACAGAGGCACAAGGCTTCACGGGCCTTTTTGGCTTTTGGAGGCAACGCACACGTTTGAGTGTGCCAGTCTGACCCATTTACCAAGTAACGTGTAACACTGCCAGTTTTGAGTGGAGAGCAGAGCACGAAAAGGCTCTGCAGCAAGTCCATCTGGAGTGCTCGCTACTCTGCCACTGGAGACCTAAGACGCAGCAGATCCAATGACATTTGAATGTGGCAAATAGGGATTCTGGATGGAGCCTTTGGCAAATGCCCATACAAGCATAGACCTCTAGGGTTTTGGAGAAAATCTGTACCCTCTTTTGAAAATAACTATTCTCCTTTTGAGAAATAGCTCCTGGTTTGCTACTAGGCCCTGTTAAAACTGAACACCTAACTATGGGACTAGGTGCTATGTGATCCAGCAAGCCATGAACTGGAGTGTGCCCAGCAGCAGTCTATCACCAAGTGGAAACGGTACATAAAGAAGAGAGATCAGCAGGTCTGGAAGGCACAAGCAAGTTGCCTGAGTAGGTGACCCAACTCCTTTGACACCTCCTCCCATGCAAAGCTTCCTTTTCCCTCAATCTATAACTTTGGGTGCATGGGGAGTTCCCTATGACGAGCTGACTAGTAGGAAGAAATTTAGCCTGGTCTACAGTTTATTCTGCCCAGCATGCAAGGACCAGCTGGTTGCTGCAAAAACTGCCGCAGCATTACAACCCCAGTCAGGTCTGTCTCTGAAAGACCCCACTGAAGGGAAATCTGCCTGGGGAGCAGAACTTGGAGCAGGACATTTGGTTGTCTGCTATGTCTAGACTGAGCACTACCCAGAAGTAGGCACCTAAACTCGTGTTCAAGGGCGGTTACTGATGGTTTGACGGATGGTCAGGGACTCAGAAAGAACAGATTTAAAAGTGACAAGGAGGTCTGGGGGCGAGGCATGGCTGAACACCTCAGAATAGGCAGAGAACTGGAGATCACTGCATTCTAGGTGAATGCTCACCAAGGGACGCTGTGCAGCCATGAGAATGAGAATGTTCTTTGTAGACAGACAACCACAGGGAACATAACGAACCAAGAGCTTCAGCAGCTGCAATCTGAAATTCGTCACTGCACCTGGACCAGCTCACACTTCCATGGGCTGCTCCCAGCACATAACTGAGTGTGACAAGAATACTAAGGCATGCATATTCACGGGATATACAAGTCTCCTGTGACAGCTGACTTTGGCTTGAGGACTTCCCGATGGCCTTGCTGAACCTACATTAACACAGAGGAGGATCTCAATAATCAGGACATGATGACGTACTTTATAGCTATTAGTCAGCCTCTTTCTCCAGACATCACAATTATTGCCCAAAGGGCCATGTGTGAGAGTGGCCATGTAGGCAAGGATGCAGGCTTATACATAAGCACAACATTGACTTCCCCTCACCAAGACTGACCTACTGAGTGCCCGACCTGCCAACAGCAGAGACCAGAGACCCACACTGAGGCCCTGATATGGGCACTTGGTGGCAGGTTATTTATACTAGATCCCTTCTATCATGGACAGGGCAGTAACCTACTCTTATTGGAAAAGACACACCATTCAGATATGACTTTGCCTTCAGTACTTCGGCCAGCCTTATTAACTGTCACGGCATCCTGCACCACATTGTATCTCATCAAGGAACAGCAAAGGAGTGTGTGTTATTCTGCTTGGGCTGCCATAGCAAAATACTATAGACTGGGTGAAATTTCTCACAGTTCTGGAGGCTGAGAAGTCCAAGATCAAGGTGTGACAAGGTAGGTTTAATTCTGAAGCCTCTTCTCTTGGCTTGTAGCGGGAATCCATCTCTCGGTGTGCTCACATGACCTCCTTTGTGGACCAGAGAGAGAAAGCAAGCTCTGTGGTGTCTCTTCTTATAGAGGCACTAATCTCATTGGGCTAGGGTCCCATCCTCATCACCTCACCTCACCCTAATTACCTCCCAAGGTCTACCTCCAAATATCACATTGGGGGTTAGGGTTTCACTATAGAAATTTGGAGGTGGACACAAACCTTTAGCCCATAACAGAGTGTGGCAACAGACTGATGCCTACAGAATTTACTGGTCTTGTCATGTACTTCACCACCAAAAAGCGGCTGGTCTGTTGGCATGACAGAATGATTTACTTAAGACTCAGTTACTTGCAAATGGGAGAAAATAACCTAAAAGGATAAAGTTCTTTCTTATAAGATGCAATATGTACTTTGAATTGGTAACCAATGAATATGGATTTTTTTTCTAAGCCATAATACAAGGGTCCAGGAATCAAGGGGTGGACGTGAGAGTAGCTCCGCTTACTATTGTACTTAACAACTCACAGAATTTTCACTTCTCATTGCTGCAACTCTGAGCACTGGTAGTTTGGAAGTCTTGGTTCCCAAGGAATGCTTTCCAGAGGACGTAACAGTAGTTCTACTAACTTGGAAGTTGAGGTTGCCACTGCCCATTTTGGGCTTATGCTGTGAGGGTTAATGCCAGTGGGCCTGAACGTGGCCTGGTCAAGGCATAACATGTCCAGATGACTAGTGTTGCACTGGAACCATGCATCTGAGGAGTTTCAGGGTGGTTTGTACCAGCTTGTCATCACTGTTTATTGTTAGAGTGAGATGGATGATTTATACCTGGAGACCTCCTCTACACCCCCAGCCCTCAACCCCTGCCCCACAAACTTGGTTGTTGGGGCTGCTTTTTAGGCAACTGAATAATTAATGGCACTGCTACTAAATTTGAGAAGAGAGTTGAAACTTTGTGTCTCCTCATTCTGGGGAGAAGGCAGAGCATCTTTATTTGTAGAGAGGGTAGTTAACACCTTAAGAGAACCACAAAGCTGTTTATTGTATAGAAATTCAAATATGGATAGAGGGTAGGAATGGATGCTCAATCGCCAAAGGGATGAATGTGCTGGTTATTAAACTATTGTCTTTCAGCTTCAAACCCATCCTTCCATACTTGCTATAATCTGCTCTGTGATCCTGGGGCTGGGACCCCACAAAGTATATTTCTTTATCACCTAGGTTTCTGTTAAACTCTGCAAATAAGGGAGCAAGAGAGATAATGGAACTATAGAGGAAGGCCCAGGGACTTGCTCCTTGCTCTTTTCCCTTGTATTGCTGTCAGTATCATCTCTGCAGTGGTTCTTCAGCCTGGCAGTGAGAGTGAGTTCCAGTAGCAGCAGCTGCTTTGAGTTTTCAGTTTTTTCACACTTCTGGAGCCAGCCTCATCATGCACTCTCAGAGATGGCAGCACCAGCAGGCTGACACTCATTCTTCCGACTTTCGAGGTCCTGAGACAATAATACCAGTCAAGCGCGGCCCCTTCCTCAGACTCCCGAGTCTCACTTCCAAGGGACCCCTCATCCAAGCTTCCAAGTTTTAATAATCCCACCTCTTTTCTTGTTCACCCATCCTAGTGATGCCAGTTGCTTCCTGCACTTACTATCTCGGTGATACCTCAGTATCCCCTTTTTCCTTTCTAGTTCTCCAACACCTGGTTAATGATTCTTTATTGTAGATTCCATTTCTTTAAAAACTGGTTTGGTTTCTATTTCTTACTGGATCCTGTTTGATACATGGATACCTATGCATTTATATAACAGCTACAGCAAAATGTTAATTTTTGAATCTAGAAAATAGGCATGTGGGTGTTCATTTTATTATTCTTCCAACTTCGTGGTATGTTGGAGACCTTTCATAATAAAACACTGGGGATAAGGTCTTCTGAAGATTTGAATAAATATCAGTTCCAGAATAAAAAGGTAACCCTGATAAAGGGTGAAAGTTTCCAAAATTGTAGGTTAGGAAATGATAAATAAAAACTGTGATTGCTCCAGAAACCAAGCTGGGAACCATGACAAAAATAAACATAGAAAAAACCCAAAACAAACAACAAAAAGTCTAGTTTTCTGTTTATATCTAGGAAAAGTTCTTTCAACTGATGTCAATGCCACCAAAATTCCAAAATCAAGCAAATAAAATATGGTTTCTGTGGGAAAAAAATGAAGACGTTCTCTAGGGAAAACCTGTCCAATTGTTCCGTCTTATAGGGGAGAAAACTGAGGCGCAGGACAGGTAAGAGCTGCCCAAAATCACGTAATAAAATTAACAGAGTCAAAACTTTCCCATGAGCCATTCGTAATAAGAAAGATTGGAAACCAGGTATTGAAGCAGGTCTCTTGACTGCACACGTCAGGAAACAGACTTCAGAAAAAGAGGGACTCTGTTAGCTCACGTAACTGAGAGGAAAAAAGTACGACTGCACTTGGGTGCTGCAGCAGTGTCACGGGGAATCTGCCTCCTCCCTTTTCTCGGCTCTGTCTCTGCCGACTTCATCCTCTGGCAGCAGAGTTGATCACTGGAAGCTCCAGACTCACGTGCTGCTAGTTTAGCAAGTATAACGTCTTTCCCATTAACTCCAACAAAAGGACTGGAGCTCACTCTAGCCAGGATGTGGTCATACAGACTGCCAGCGGGTAAGAAAGTTCCTCAAAGAAAAATCTGGGTGCTATTATTTAAAAAGGCAAGTGAATGAATGAATGAATGAATGCTAAGCAGACCAAAATAAGAGATGATTTGTCTGCCAGACCTCTTGATTCCTATATGCTGAGGGCTATAGAGTTTACACAGCTAGTAAGTAGCTGAGCCAGAACTGGAATCCATTTCTGTATTAGAGTAAGATTTAGAGCAAAACTGTAAAACAGAAGAAACGTAACCTCAGGTGTCTCTTTATTCTCAGAAGATAAATCAAGTACAACATACAACGAATGAGACAATTACTTTATATTGCCTTTCAAATTAAGGTAGACTGAAAGCTTCAAATTTGACTTTTCCAAATGCTTGGTAGATATTAAAGCCAAGCTTACAATATTTTGATATAATTTAGTGCTAAAAAGGTTCTATACTATAAATACCCAGATCCTAATCTTTTAAAAACTGAGATATAATTCACATATCATAAAGTTCACCCTTTAAAAGTATGTGTGTTTCGTTTTGATTCTCATTGGATCATGCCTGAAAATGCTGACCCATCTATTTACTACAAGTAGCTTTTGGTGGCTTACAAGAGCAGCCAAGATGTCAAAAATTCACATGCAAGTCAGTATAGACAAAAAGTCCCTCCCATCTTCTCTTTCCCACCCTTGCTCCCCAACGATTTCTTGCAGTCTGGTAGTTACTGGCTCCACCAGAGTTCTGTCTGCCAATTTTGTAGCAGAGGCTCAGGTGGAGCATTTTTAATATGAACTACTAATTCCTTTTCTAGTGATGTTTAAAATCAGATATTTGGCAAAATCTGTAATGCAAGCAGGTTTGCTTTCAACCAATCATGCACAGAGAGTGACATCTGCTGGTCATAAAGGTTATATCTTTATCCTGCCTTGATTCCTTTTTGCAATTTATCAGTGACCTTAATTATATAGTAAAAATATAAGAAAAACAATCTCATATCAATCTTATATGATCTCTTCCTTGGGAGAAAAAGAAACCAACACATATGACTTATATGTGCCAATATATGTACCACTGTCGGAGATTATTTAAATTAAAAAAAAAACTAGGTTTCTTCTTCATTTAGCAGACACTGCACCCTCTTTCATTTGATCAGGGGAAAATAAACTGTTGTAGAATTTGAAAATGAATTAAAAACTCAGCCATTTCCTTTACAAATCCTTTGGGTTTTTGTTTCAGAGCAGAAATGAATGAATTTAGTTGAAGAGAGATTCTAGTGGACTTAATCAAAGCCTGGGCATCAAAGGTCATTGCTTCTGGCCTTTCATCCTAGTCTTGCTATTGTGTCGTTAGGTCCCAGGTTTCATACAAGCCCTTGCTCCATCCCTACTTCCCTTCTATCTTCAGATATGCAGACATATTAAACTTTATACATACTCATCCAGATTTATTCCTATATTAGCTTTGGAAATTTTTCCCACTGTTCTTGAAGTTAGATTATACTAGGAAACATTACAACGTATATTCTGTAACTACATTTTTAAATGAAAGGCATGTATTATATTTACTGATAAAAGTATTTGATGGTGATAAAGCTCAGTTTTATGTAGAAAATATAAACTTCAATTTGCATCTCAATTTGGTAGTCAGATTCCATTGCCTTTCAGGTTTTTTTTTCAATTTTTCACTATTATAAAAATGCTGTGATTGGGCTGGCCTGGTGGCATAGTGGTTAGGTTTGTGTGCTCTGATTCAGCAGCCCGGGGTTTGTGGGTTTGGATCCTGGGTGCGGACTTACACATTCCTCATCAAGCCACGCTGTGGCAGCATCCCATATATAAGACAGAGGAAGACTGCCACAGAGGTTAGCTCAGGGCCAATCTTCCTCACCAAAATAACTAAATAAATAATGCTGTGATTACTCACCTTATAAATAAAACTTTGTGGACATCCCTGCTTCTTTCCATGTGACAAATTACTACACGGAAAAATCCTAAATCAAACGGCTATGAATAATCAATAAAGGAACGAAAACTAGTACTATAATAATCAAAAATTGGTAGTAGTAGAAGAGATGTTTTAGAAATCCAATCCTTGTCTATTATCTAGAGGAGTAAATACATAACTTTTAAAGCTGATAAATCAAAGCTGGTATATGTGTTCGATATAAACATATTACTTACAGATGTGGGCAGAACCACAAAAAGTTAAAGCAGAAATGGTCAAGGTGATCGGGCAGGAAGGGGACTGCAGCTTTTCATCACAGACGCATGTTTTTTTTTTTTTAGGATGATAAGCCCTGAGCTAACATCTGCTGCCAATCCTCCTCTTTTTGCTGAGGAAGACTGGCCCTGAGCTAACATCTGTGCCCATCTTCCACAGCATGGCTTGACAAAGAGTGCGTAGGTTTGGACCCGGGATCTGAACCGGCGAACCCTGGGCCACTGAAGCGGAATTTGCGAACTTAACCACTGTGCCACCAGGCTGGGCCCCGCAGACTCATTTCTTTCTCCAGCCTTGAGCATTTAGTACTTTGATAAAAAAATTCAAGTTTTGAAACAAAAATGTAAGCTTATTTAAATTAGAAAATACTTTGTCAAATTATCATCTAGAAAAAGAACATTCCTTTAGATGCCCATGGGGAATTTTTTGATGACCCTGACTTACTCTAGTAATTTCTTGTCAATTTGTTTATTATTTATATTCTGGTCCATTCAAAAGTTTTGAACTATTTTGGAAAAATACATACAGTATAAAATGTAAAACAGGTGAGGAAGCTGGGGTGTAGGAAAATAAGAGGAGGCCAGAGGACCAAAGAATCCATCAGAACCATCTGGAAAGGTAGTTGAGAATGAAGATCTGTGATCTTCTCCCAGACTTGCTAAATCGGAATCTCGAGGAGGCGGCTCTGGGACCTCCTTTTTAGCAGCCTCGGTGACTTGGAGTCCTCATGTAATTTAAAGGAAGACGAGTGATGATAAGGTATGAGGATGTTTATTAACGTCATGGCATTCAGAGCATGGGAGCTAGGGGGATGGACAGTGTGAGAGTGACTCCAAAGAACGCATTTAAAAATAAATCTTATATAAACTAGAATCATCCCTTCTCTCACTATAACATTTCATGATCCTCTTCTGATTTCACTAACCTCCCCATAACAGCCTGCACAGAGATGAGAGGACTCTCTGCCATTTTGTCCTTTGACTTTTACCCTTCACACGAAGATGCCAGCTGTGGGAGGTCTTCTTTTTTCTCTTGGCTCCATTCCTAGCCTACTGTACTATTTAGCTGGATATTCTAGTGTTGGGTGTCTTTTTCATGTATTGCATCAAGAGGTTAGACAGACACATAAAATTAGAAAAACCCTATGGATCAACTAGGCAGTGAGGGGTACTTAATCTTTTCTGCTGCTTGTGTTCTCATCCTCAAAATATATTTTCACATGCCTCATTAATGAAGTCAAAGTTACTCAATTTTTAAACATTGGATTTGGTATACCATAAATATAAAAGGAAAGAGACAGAATTATAGCTTAATTTTACAGTGGAATTAAGAATATATTAGAAATCATACATTAAAAAAGTTTACCAGCTTACAGTGACTTCTGCTGTAGCTGTAGCTTCTGTTCAATGATGTCTGAGAAACGAGGAACTTTTTTTGAAATAGCCACACGGATGTCATCACTCATATTAAAGCAGCTCCTGGACTTTGTTTTAAAATGTAAAAGTGATGAAAATCCCAATTCACAAAGGTAGGTAGTTGCAAACGGTATAAGGATTTCTAGAGCTGTCTTTGCCAGGTTTGGAAACGCTGTGAATTGAGCACACCAGAAATCCTCAAGCTTCATTGTCTCAAATTCCATTAGGATTTGGCCACTAGCTCGTAATTCAGCAAGATCATTTTTCATTAAATAACCATCATCGACAAAATCCAGATTAAAAAGAAATGGATCCAGTATCCATTTACTGGCCTCATCAAGGTCTCCAATGGAAAAATAGCCGTGGAAGAAGTTGCTCAACTGTTGCAGATGCAGTGTTATGTCAGTGGCAATGCATACTGCTTCATTATCTGAAACGATTATTTCTTCCAGAAAGGGAAAGTTGGTAAAATTTCTTTTCTCAATTCGCTTTAGCCAAAACGGAAACTTCCTAACAAAAGCAGATAACTTCTCTCTGGCTGACACCGTGTTCATCCCAGTCCTTTGCATAGACGCGCTAAGTTCATTTAGGTGTTTGAATAAATCTGCAAGGTATGCTAGGTGAATTTTAAACTCTTTATTTTCAAAGCCATCAACTAAATTACTGCTTTGGTGGTGAAGAAACTGATCTATTTCTTCATACATTTCAAAGACATGAGTAAGTATTTGGCCTCGAGAAAGCCACCGCATTTCAGTATGGAAAAGGAGGACACTATACTCTATTCCAATTTCTTCAAAAAAAGCCTGAAACACGCGATGATTTGGAGCTCGCCCTTTGATGAAATTTACTACCCTCACCACAGTAAACAGAGCATCCCTCAGTTTTGCAGGCAATGTCTTTGTGACAAGTTCATGAGGGTTTAACAAACAATGCGTGATCACGATATGAGGTACTTCTTTTTTCACACAAGCAACAAATTCTGAATTTTCTCCTAGCATAGAGGAGGCACCATCAGTACAAACAGAGCCACACACATCAAGTGCTATCTTATGCTTCCAAAAGAAGTCTCTGAAGAGATTGAACACATCTATTCCTTTCATTGTTAACTGCAAAGGTTCACAGAACAGGAATTCTTCTATGATCTCTCTCTCTTTTACGTATCGCACAAATGCCATTAGCTGACTGCAGTCATCCATGTCAGTTGTCTCAGCAAGCTGAACGCCCACTTTAAGAGGACTGGCTTTGATATCTTCCAGAACTTGCTGTAAGATATCCTGGCTCATTTCATCAATTCTAGAATGGATCACATCATCTGATAAGGGTACCTGCTGAAGCTTCTTTTGTGCATCTGGTCCCAGAACTATTTGTGCTATTTCTAATGCGCAAGGTTTCACTAATTTTTCAGCTATTGTATGAGGATTCTTCTCCTTGGCACATAAATAAGCAAACTGATATGACGCTTGTAACAAGGCATCCTCATGAGATGCAACTCCAAATGCTTTCAAGGTTTCGTTCTGATCAGAATGTGCTGGCATATGCTTCAGGCTATTGAGATCATGCCCACCTACACCACCATGCTGCCTGTTAAAATGGTCAGACAGTTTCGATGGTCTGAGGTCAGCATTTGAGAATATCGAGTTACACAATACACATTGTGGGCGCTGAGTTCCATCAACCTCCGTTGTACAGGTGAACCAGTAACGAACATAGTCGTCATCCCATTTGCGTTTCTTCGACATGGCACCCAAAAATTCTCAGGTAGTATTCCAGAGATGCCGCAGAATTTTGCTTTGGGAGTAAAATATAACCCACACATTAAAAATCAGTGGCTAACCAAATTAAAACAAAGCCACATCACATGCCATCCTGTCATCTGTGTGCATGTCAAGAAATATCCTGTAACATGTCAGTTCAAAGTAAGCCATGACAGCATGACAGTCCAACTTAAAGATAACAGCTCACACAGCTAATGCCCTAGAATAAATGACTTGTCAGCCAGTTATGTATGGGAGATTTGGGCTTATACAAATTGTGAATACTTGTAAGTTCTTACTGGTGAATTGCAGTTATGGCTTAATTTGTTTTCAATGATGTATGTTCCAAACAAATCTGATATAGTTTGTATCCTCGGAAAGGGAATCTCATTACCACCCACTTCTTCCATCCTGCACCAAGGATGTGTGCACAGCCCCAGTCATGAAGCACTGAATAGAGAAGGGAGTAATTCAATAAATACTCTAAGGAAGGGCAGAGATTGCCATGGTGGCTAGTTCTTTTTAATAGTTAAGGAGTAAAAAGGCCTGTAAAACTATTCAATCCTTAAGCAGCTTTGATTCCAACTTAAGCAGAGAATTTCAACCAGGTCTGATTAAGCCACCCTTGACAAACAAGTAGGATACAAATTTGGCTCAGAGCTTTCTTGCTGCTAAAGTGTAACCCACTATTCATCCGTGATTCATACGGTCCATATAGAAAAACAAAACAAGCTGCTCAGGAGAAACACAACTATTCTTATTACCAAGACTTCAGAAAATTTCTCTCATAGGACACCCTTACTTACAATAGAAATTTCATGATGCTTTTTCATAAACTACCCCTCAGTAAAAACAGTCAAGAAAGGAGCTGAAACAATGGAATGAAAATAAGCAGCATTCCTGACCTGGCTTAACCCAAGAGGAGAATGTAGAAGCAGTGGTTCTCTAGTTTAGTAAATGGAGGAATCATCTAAATCTCTTGCGAAAATATGGATTCCTGAGCCCCATGCCCAGAGATTCTGATTCCCCGGCTTTGGAAGAGTGTTCCAGAATCTGTATTCTGAAGAAGCATTTTAGATAATTCTTATGAATTGTAACTAGAGCAGTAATCTTTAACAAAAGCTGCCCATCACAATCCCTGGAAACCTCTTTGAAAGGCTGAACATCCCTGTACCACCTTAGAACTAATAAATCATCTTCTCCAGAAGTAGGACAAAAGAATCCAAAATAACGTTGTCCAGGTGATTCTGATACATATCCTAGTAAGTGGCCGGATTTAGAGGAATGAAACATATCCTTCAGGCCAATCCCTAGCTGGCAGATATTCTAGCTTGCTAAGTAAACAGTCTAAATGCTTTAATAGGCGTTTACGTTTTCTGAGTTGATGACAACCTTCTGTGAAAGCTGAGGGACCTAAAAAGAAAGCCATGCCTTTTTTCTTTTTCTTCCTCCTTAGCAATGAGCAAAGGTATAATCCATAGGTAGGCTCAAATACACCTTAGAAAACAATTCTATCTCCCAGATAAGTGATTCCCAAAGTTTCCAAAGTTCTATGCCACTGAATGTGGCTGAAATAACTTAACAGGGGCACATTTAAATCCAAATGCCCACTTTGGCCATAAAATAAAGTCACAATAAGTAAGCCAAGAATATTTACTTAAAGCACTAGCTTTCTAGTGGCTCTGCCAAGATTCCCTTGTTGTAAAATATACTTCTATGTAACTAATAAGTTGACCTGCCATATGGTTGTTACGAGCCAGTTAAAAATTGGAAGATGTCTGCCAATCAATAAAGACGATTTGAAGTTTAAAGAGTCAATCTTAAGCCTTCTTTTGTCAAGTGATGAGACTATAGGGCCAACTGTGTTTAGAATCGATCCTAATTGACAGCAATAAGCATAAAACATGATTATCCTTCTGTATTGTTATGTAGATTTACTATGTGTATTTTGAGGGGCAGAGGAAGTGAAGGAAAAACCTTGTTTCAGTCTCATTAGAAATCATTACAGGACCGGTTAAGAGTCCATTCCTATTCACCTTGACTATGTTGCTCAAGTATATTTTGACTGAAGATTTACCTGTTTTGAACAAAAGAATTTTTAGAAAAATTCACTTATAGTATTCTTCTCCATCCCCCTCAAAAGGGAGAACAGATAGCAAGGATTTTCAAGATCCTCAAAGATGAACTTACCGCCCAAGAGACTGTCTTGTGTTTTAGAACCTCACAATTTTCACTTGCTCCTTTGTGGTATTTAGCAATCACAATATCCTAAAACATGTAAACATTAAAAAAAGCATCATCTTATTAGGGAATTATTGTTAATCTAAGCGCGTGCGATAAATGGTATGGTTGTGTCCAAAAAAAGTTCTCATTTATTAGAGATACAGACTTATTTACAAATGCAATGATGTCTCGGATTTCCTTTGAAATACTGTACTTCAGCACACACAGACACACAAACATAAAGTAGGGTGGAGACAGAAGAAACAAGATGCACCTTGAGTTGGTAACTGTTGAAGCTGGATGATGGGTACACATTCATTACACCATTCTCACTTTTTTGAGTATGCTGAAAAATTTCCAAAATAAACAGTAAAATAAAAAGCATTATCTTACCAAACAGAAATCATTCGGGTTTAGAATGATTCTTTTGACAGTATGTTCAGAGAGATCTTAAGATGCAGAATGAAAGATCTGATATAACAACGAAAGATCTAATATAACAAAGTAAAATGTTTTGGCAAGTTTATGAAGGATAAGGGTAGATATGAAAAAATATCACAACTGGGAGAAAAAACAGTTAAACGTAAACATGCACATAACAGAGATATTTGAACGCTAAAACATCTGTGTCAGCAATGACAACACCAAAGCGCAGCTGTACGCCTAAACTCCAAACCAAACGCACTTGCACTTGCACTGAGCCACCGCCGCCGGCAGCCCACGGGACGTGCGGTGTCTGGGGAGGCGGAGGATTCAGTCATCACCGTTTACAGTTATAAGCAAGAGCCAGGAGAAAAGGGTCGGGAATGTGGTGGCAGAGCAGACGCTGCAGAGGCCAACGCCTGGGATCCCGGCTTTGTCACTCAGAGGCTGGGACCTTTCCCAGGCTCCACTCGTCAACTGGGGATGACAATAGTACCTACCTTCCAGGGCTGCTGGGAGGTTTACTTATGAGCACGCATGCACAGAACACCAGCTCGTACTGCTGGCCCTGTCGGTGTGTTACTAAGGACCGAGCGTCTGGCAGGCGGCCCCGGCGAGGAAAGCAGGCTCGGCTGCTCTCCGTCCGCCCTTCTCCCAGCCAGAGGCGCAGGCCCGGGGATGCTCGGGCTTCCTTTAGGCGCCCGCTTCGCGCTCCAGCTCGCTCTCTGCTCCGGCCGGGGCGCAGCCTCTGGGCGCCGGAAGCAGTCTAGGCAGCAGCCCTTCAGGGCCGACACGGGGCAGAAACCTGCGGAACGCGGTTAGAGCTAAGCTTCCGCAGCGCCCTCCGCCGCAGCCACACCAGGGCTCCATCCGGGTTCTCCGGGCGGCTTCCCGCCCGCACACTGGGGGAGGCGGTTCCCCGCACGCAGGCGCATTAGCAAACGGCTGAGGGCCCGGCTGGCTTGAGTAGGGAGCATGCGTGATGGCCCTTCTAGCTTGTGTCCGTGGAGGTGGGAGTTTTTTGCTTGTTGTGTCTGGCAGAAAAGATGAATCGTAGAGACTCAGGAATGGAAGGCGTTGTAAAGCCCCCATAGTTCTAATTGTTAACATTTAGAGCACTAGATATAAAGTTTTCTGTCAGACTTTGTGCTTGGAGATTATAATGCTCCAATAATTACCAGTTTCTATGTGGAATCAATGAGGAAAAAGAGAAGGAAGATCATTCTACTCCCAAATGAAACGTTCAGGCAAATGGGACAAGCTGTACATTCCATTAAGATACTAAGGTGGAGGATGAGCTTGCATTGTCTTGCCCCCCCCCCCCCCCCCCATATCTGTAGCTGAAGGTGGCATTTAAGGTGGCAACCTTGGCCATTTTGGCAAGTTGCTGTTTTCCTGGGTTTCTCCCATGTATACATGTTATAAAGCTTTGTTTGATTTTCTCCTGTTATTGTGTCTCATATCAATTTAATTTGCAGACCAGCCAGAAGGACCCAGAGTGGGTAGAGGAATTGTCTTCCTCTCCTACATTATAAACTTAATGAAATGGTATTTTATTCATTTTTGAATAATCAATCTTGTGAGAAGCATCCCACAAGGTTAGGGGAGGGGGAAGCATCAAAGAACGTGGGTCAGATGCATCATTTTCAGGTGTTTAGAGTGAATGTGATAAAGACTGAGAGCCTGCTTAAGGTTTCTGTGAATGGAAGAAACTGCAAAGGACCAGCCTTCCTGGTCCACAAACCTGGGCCTCAAATACCAGAGAAAGCAGTAGGCTTTAGAGGTAGAGATACTTGGCTTTATGTCCAGGCCCCAGTACTTTGAACTGTTAGGGCATGAGCAAGTTACCTGGACTCTTTAAGCCCGTGTGCTTACTGTAAAATAGGGATATCATCCATTACTCACCCCACGAAATTGTTCTGAGGAGGTAACATACGAAAACTACAGCACACAGTTCCAGCACTCGAAAGGCAGCTATTATTGAGACAGTAAAATCAAAGCTCGTATCTTGAGTAATGTTCCAGATACCTTTTTTCCAAAGTGAAACAAATAAGATTTCAGATATTATAGAATTCTACTTAAAATCAGAGTGAATTAGGTTTCACAGAGAACAGAACCCAAAAAGGTTAGGTGACATGTTTTTTGAGTTAAAGAATCCTGAAATTTTCTAAATCAAACTCACAGAAGCTAACCCAGGCTCTCTGTCAGTCCTATAAACCACTTTTCTGCCAAAAATTGAAATAATGCTACAGACTACTCACAGTCAATTCTCAATTATATATCTTTATTAACAAAAGATAAACAAAATACAAAATAGATACCAATGTCAGACTTTCTGTTGAACCATCCTATGTTAAGGTAGGAATATGAAGACAAATTTTTGACATTCTTAAAGTAGGTAAGAATTAGACCTATTTGCATTGCTGTATTAATTTCATACTATTCTGAATCTAGATACCACATATATCCATAGTACTTGACAATTTGATGAAGTTACTCTCCCATCAGCACTATTTCTGAGATGCTAACAATGCAATGTCCTGGGAGGTTTTGGTAGCTTAGAAAACCCAGCGAGTTGTTAAAAGTCCACGTACAATGTACAGGCTATTACTGATCCCACTCTCACTGTCAGTATTACCTTCACAATGTTCGTAGAAGAGGATCATGGCAATCTCAGTTACTAATATCCCTATAAGCTATCCTTTTAATTCTTTGAAGAAAGCTTCAACAAGAGGTTTTGCTTTTTGCAAATTTTACAAAGTTACACCTGCTGGCTATAAAGATTAGGAACAACGGATATTCTACAATCTTTTAAAACGTAATATTCATGATTGTTACACAAAGTAATCACAATAAACTAGTATCACAAATTATATCCTCTATTATAAAGGGGAGGATTTCTGTGTCTGAAGACTCACGTCTTGAAGGGTAAAACACCAGGTAGTGATCAGTCGACACTGACTGAAGGATAAGTTATTTTTCTGTTCAAAGGCTAACACATTTAGGTGTAAGGTACAAGGAAATATTTTAAAATCAAAATTTTATAACCAAGTGGAAAACAGAATTATTACTACACAGACTGATGTCAGGGATAAAGTTATTCACATGTCCTGCAGACTTCCCTTCAGTAACCCAAAGCCCAAGATAGAATACTACTTTTAGCTTCAGACCAGGAAAACCTTGGAAGGCAAAAATGAATGATTAGCAAATAACTACAATTATAGTTACTAGTAATTTAAAAAAACCAAGACCTGATTTTGAGAAAGACTAAGTAATCTGCCTTCAAGATGTGTGCTAACACTAAAGGACCATAAAAATTGAAGAAATAAAGTTTGAGACTTAATAAATATAGAGCGTAAGATATTCTTTTTTTCTTTTTTTAAAGATTTTATTTTTTCCTTTTTCTCCCGAAAGCCCCCCAGTACATAGTTGTATATTCTAGTTGTGGGTCCTCCCAGTTGTCACACGTGGGATGCCACCTCAGCATGGCCTGATGAGTGGTACCATGTCCGTGCCCAGGATTCGAGCCGATGAAATCCTGGGCTGCCGAAGCGAGTGTGCGAACTTAACGACTCGGCCACGGGGCTGGCCCTGAGCGTAAGATATTCTTTTTTTTTTTTTTTTTTTTTTAAAGATTTTATTTTTTCCTTTTTCTCCCCAAAGCCCCCCGGTACATAGTTGTGTATTCTTCGTTGTGGGTTCTTCTAGTTGTGGCATGTGGGACGCTGCCTCAGCGTGGTCTGATGAGCAGTGCCATGTCCGCGCCCAGGATTCGAACCAACGAAACACTGGGCCGCCTGCAGCGGAGCGCACGAACTTAACCACTCGGCCACGGGGCCAGCCCCCGTAAGATATTCTTGATAGGTAGAGAGCCAAGGCCTCCTTCCACATCACTAATATAAAATTGGAAAAAATCTTACTCTGCCTTTAATGTATCTCCTCTTTCTTTTTCTTCTTTGTTTCTTCTGTGTGAGAAGGAATGAATTTACCATGAGACTTCAGGAACCTTTATTAAAGTCAGGCACAAGAAGAGTAGACACAGAGTTTTCCACCTACAATCATCAGCAAGAAGCTCAAAGAATGTATCAGCAGTGTCTATCTTGGGTGACCATCTACGACTAGTTACTACTGTCCAAGGAAGGAGGCCATGGGGTCATCGGGCCTCTGACGTTTCATTCTGTAGGCCTCCATTTCCTCTTCCGTGGGTTCCCGAGTTTCGTATACGCTATTGTAAGGCCGCTTCCTCTCATCAATCTGCATGATCTCCTTGACATGGAGAAGGCGGGCCTCCTCTGCATTCAGTGCCTATAGTGAGAGGAAAAACATGAGTACCATGGCTCTCCATCAGATCTCTTTTGTTCAAAAGTGGCAGAGTACCGAAAGCCCCACTGAATATGAACTGCTATGTCAAAAACCTAGATTCCCTGAAAAAGCCAGGGAGTCAGTCCTTCTACTGTCAAGCTACAACTAATCACTATTTGGCTCATATATTTTCATAGAGCACAAAATTCTATGACATTTTCAATGTTACAGAAATTTTATTTAATAACAAAAAGTGAATGAGGTTCATTTTACTGACAGAAGCTGGCAACTGATGCTTTAGGTGGAGACTGCAAGACATTTCCCAAGGACTTGCTGAAACTTACAAATTATAGAGTTAGAAGGCAATTCTTTCTGGGCAACGAGCCAATAACTCTAAACTAACAGCTTTAACAAGCACATTTCTTCTGTGCCTTAGTGATAGTTAACAAATAATCCAAGAAGCAGGCAAGACCAAGACACATCAAATCTCCACTCACATTCCAGACCTGACGCAAGGTGACCTGAGCAAATCACCCAGACTCGGGCCTCGCTTCCTCATTTTTAGAATGGGGCTGGAGACAGAACTAGATGATCTCCTCAGGCCCCTACAAATAAAGAACCCTGTTGCCACTCTTACTATTTATTTAGACCTCACGAAGTACCTTTTTCAATTTTTCATGTTTCTTTTCTTCGTCCTCGCTGTCTGAACTGCTCTTTCGATGCTGCTTCTTCTTCTTCTTCTTCTTCTTTTTCTCCTCTTTTAGTTTTTCCTGATGCATCTGACGGGGAGGGTTGAAATACAGTGTTATTAACGCAAAGACAAAGCGCTGGTGCAAGTTTTAAAGTCCTCCCTCCAGGACTTAAAAATTCAGGACAAATCATCACAGACTCACCTCCATGAGGGTTTGAGGTTTTCTCACCGATTCTTCTCCAGTGATATCATTTACAAGACATTCCTCTGAATTCTGTGGGGAAATATATGTAATTTGACTTGAGTATCATAGAGACCAATCATCTAAGAAAACGTTAAAATTTGAAACACGAGAAGATAAGTTTTATCCAGACTTTGACTTAAGAGCTTTGGCTATTTTACCCCGTCAGAACTAGAGGACAACTACGTACAGCAATCTCCTTCCCAGCTTCTCCAGTACAATAGGAATACTTGAAAAAAGAGTGACAGCATTTGTATCCCCATCGGCCTTCTTTCCAGTAAGATCCCCAGATATGCTGCAGAAGAGAGAGACAGGTTACTTAAAAAGGGACCTGAAACTAGGGACTCTCATATACTGTTGATAAGAGTATTAAATAATCCAGTCCTTTTAAAGGTAATTTGGGAGGAAATTTACGGGGATTCTAGGGCTAGCAAATAGGGAGAGGGTGGCCTGCCCTCAAGTGTGAGGAGCAGGTATTACAGTTACAACGGTCTTACATTGTATTCCCAAAAACCTATAAAAAACATTTAGGATATCTGAATTCTCTTGAAAAATTTAGAAGCACTGGGGAATGCTGGGCCCACATTCCCACTTGTCAATAACTGGCTGTTACTGAATAGTGGATGCCCCATTAGACAGGGCTTATGTTCTCTAGTTTGTACAATTTGCCTGGCTCGCTTCGCTCATATAGATTACTGGCCTGGCTCCTACAGTTAGTTACGTTTTTGACCCCTGACTTGAAGAGACAACTGTAGTTTGGGGACCTCAAGGGTACAGCAAGTGACATTATATACTTCATGATGTGATGCAATATGAAGTATACTGCATCACCCGTGAAGTGTTCTTGTCAAAACATTTAACTTATATCTAATCAAGGCTTTAGGTCTGAATTCCTGTTATAGGAAATACAGGAGATAAAGGAATAAGTTATATGATATCATTAGCAACCAGCTGAGTACAGAATATGAGATAGTTTACAGGATAACTGGCCTGATCTGTTAAATAGTCACTGTCACGAAAAAGGAGAGAGGCATTCTAGAAAAAAGGGATATAACAACCAGTAACAAACAAAATAAACTTCGATTGGATTCTGACTCACAAAAAACACCCAAAACCAAATAGCCACTTAAAGGCGTTTTTGGGTATCTTTTGGAAAATGTGATTAAGGACTAGAGATTAGACAATATTACAGAGTTAACATGAATTTTCTACAGTGTGTTAATGGTAATGTAGTTACATAGAAGAACATCCTTAATTTTAGGAAATACAAGATACAGTGTTTATGGGTAAACTGTCATGATATCTGTAATTTTCAAATTTTTCAGTCAAAAAATTTATAAATATAAGATATACATAGCGCACACACACACACACATACGTAGACAGATCATAAATGGCCATATGTAAATACCCACTTAGGTGGTAGGTACATGGGCAAACGTAACAGTACTCTTTCACATTTTTTCTATTTTTGGAAAAATTTCATAAAACAAATTTAAAATGTAAAACAAAACAAAAAAAGCTCAACAATGATTTGCTAATGAAGTTGTAACAGAAAAATACAATCCAGAGCAAAATGCTAACAAGGACACAAGACAGTTCTGGTTCAACACATACCGTGTGATTGTGGATCTTCACATCCTCCTCATACTTAGAGCAGGCGACGGCCCGCTCCTGTCCTTTGATGACTGTCCCATGTCTTGAGTACTCCACATAGTCTTCGGTCTGAGCTAAAAGCAACTCAGCTGGAGGGGCATCCAGGTGTTCTTGGCCGCCATACTAAAAGGACATTGAACATGATTAAATACATTTTACAAAGATCTGCATTCATCTCTCTACCAAAGGGTTTATTTCCAATCAGAAAGATTAGAGGAACATATATTTTATTTAAAGATTGGCACCTGAGCTAACAACTGTTGCCAATCTTTGTTTTTTCTGCTTTTTCTCCCCAAATCCCCCCAGTACATAGTTGCATATTTTCGTTGTGGGTCCTTCTAGCTGTGGCACGTGGGACACCACCTCAACATGGCCTGACAAGTGGTGCCATGTCTGTGCCTAGGATCTGAACTGGCGAAACCCTGGGCCGCTGAAGAGGAGTGCGTGAACTTAACCACCTGGCCACGGGGCCGGCCCCATAAAGGAATATTCTTTATGGGCTTTGTTATACAAAACAAAGTGAAAAAAAGGCCACCAAATTTTCATAGGCAAATAAAAGATGTGTCAGTTGCTATTCATCTGTTGAATGTGATAGATTACAAAATGGCCATAAGTTTCTCATATTCTTCTATGTATACCATTTGCTACATGACTTTGCCGCTCTTCCCCTCAAGAGATAGAGTCTGGGGGCTGGCCTGGTGGCGCAGCGGTCAAGTTCGCACATTCTGCTTTGGCATCCCGGGGTTCACGGGTTCAGATCCTGGGTGCGAACATAGCACTGCTTAGCAAGCCATGCTGTGGTAGGTGTCCCACATACAAAAAGTAGAGGAAGATGGGCATGGATGTTAGCTCAGGGCCAGTCTTCCTCAGCAAAAAGAGGACTGGCAGCAGAGGTTAGCTCAGGGCTAATCCTCCTCCAAAAAAAAAAAAGAGAGGTAGAGTCTGTTTCTCCATCCTTTGAATCTGGCCTGACCTTCTTACTCATTGTGGCCTCTAGGAAATTGGCAAATATGATGCAAACAAAGGCCTGTTAAGCACATGTGCACTGGAGCATACTGTTTGTTGCTGGTCTCTGGTATCCTGAGAATGCCATGCAAAGAAGCTGGGCCAGCAGACCAGAGGGACAGAGAGGAGCTATTCCAAATGAGGCCTGCTCATTGACAGATACCAAAGTGAGGCTGTCCCAGATCATCCAGCCTTAGATGGGCAGGCTCAGACCAGGAGACCCAGCTGACATACAAAATGGTGAGAAATAAGAACGTTTATTTTAAACTACTAAGTTTTAAGGTAGTGTTTTGTTTTTTTTTTTTCCCCTGAAGAAGATTCACCCTGAGCTAACATCTGCTACCAATCTTGCCACGCTGCTTCTTTTTTTTTAACATGTGAGCTGTGGCCACAGCATGGCCAGTGACAGACAAGTGGTGTGGGTCTGTGCCCAGGAACCAAACCTGGGCCACCAAAGCAGAGCACGCTGAACTTAACCACTAGGCCACTGGGGCTGGTCCTAAGATAGTTTGTTTTGCAGCTCAAGCTCACCTATACAGCTATACTAATACAGTAATACCAGCTGATTAAGTCAATGGAAAGAAACGATGATCCCTGATGGATTAAAAGGGACTGTGTATTGTATTCCAAATGTAAACTGAATGCTTACTCATTGGTAATTTCTCTTTAAGGAATGTTCTTCTTTAGCATTATGGTCAAAATTACCTTTTCCAGGATGCTTTCTTTCTGCTGTTCCTTGAAGTCTTCTTTTTTGACTTTGAAGGACTTATACAACAGCTCAAGTTTTGTAGGATCGGCTTGCAGATGCACTTCAGATCCCTTGTCATAGGCTTCCCAAGCAAACACTAGAGTAATTAAAAACATCTTAATGAGTAGTCAGCTACATTGATTGCATGCTTCTTGAAAACAACCCTTAAAAAACGCCCCCAAATTTCTTATGAGCTGATATGAAATACCTTGACATATAGCAAACACTTACACTGTGTCTGAGCCATTGAAATGGTATCGCCTGTGTATCTAACAAAGTTATCTCCCGCATAGCTCACTCTGTAAATACAAATTAAAAAAAAATTGTTTCAGAGACTCATTTCTTTAAGGAAAGTTAATTCTTTTCTGACCCAACCAGGGATGATGCTCATTTTAATTCAGATTCAGTTTTATGATTAAAAACTCCCCTCCCCCACCTTGAAATCTATACATTTAACTTGATACTTACTCATCTGGGTTCTTTCCTGCATTGGCATAGGGATTCTCTCTCATCGCTCTAGTTTTGGGATCATAGTAAGCAGAATTTGGATCTAAATTCCGCAAATACTAGAAGGGAAAAATGTTTTAAGACTGCATTAATGTTTACTTCTGTCAAAAACGGTTTCAGCAAACTAGTAGTAGGAGTTGATCATGATCAATTGAATGCGTGTGTGCATTTCTGGGGTAGAGATGAAGAGAAAAAGACAGAATGACACTTGATCTTGGAATGACTGACTATATTACCCATTTACTGCTCAGATACCAGACGAGTAGACAAAATTTAGGCTGGGAAGACAAATATTTTTCGAATATGTATGTCAAGTTGGCAAGGCTTACTTTTGCAATATCTTCTCGAATCCTGAGATTCCGGACAGTAATTCGTCTCTTAGAGTCAAAGTTCTGTCCAGGCATGTCAATATCATCTGCATATTTATCTTCGTCCTCATCTTCACTATTATGATCTTTTTCCTGAAAGAAGGAGAGATCGGGGAAAAAACTGTAAGACACAAAGAATGGCATCTAGTTCTGGTTTTCCTTTCTTTTCCGCTTAACCAAACCTGTATTCACTTGTGTTCTTTAAAATTATTATTATTATTATTAATTATATATCATTATTACCATTAGCTATAAGAAATTGAAAAACGTAATGTGTGCCCAGACAGGGCAAATATTTATTACCGTCTGAGAATTTGGTTCCTCTTCTCCCCACTGGTGTTTTGGAGAATTCTGCAACATGAAAGAAGAAAAAGAATTTGTAATTTTATTCCACTGAATCAGCTGACTATTTAGCACTTTAAAAACATAGTTAAGATAATATAATTTAAATCTAATTGAACAAATTCTCATATTTCTCACTCATAATAAGTATATAAGTTCTGAATACAAGATATCATTGTGAGTAATTTTACTAGACTATCTACAAAGCCCAAAAATTTCTAGAGAATTTTCATTGATATAGGATTATAATCATACAAAGGTAACAGGAAGATTACATTGACCAATGTACCCAACAAATACTCATTTCACATGTTCATTTTTAGACATACCATTTTCACTAAACTTGATTAGTTTCCTATTAAGGCCAAAAAGAAAAGTTACCAAGATCATGTAATAAGTATTTTTATAGCCAAAACAGCCTTTGTAAAATTTGGGCAATGAAGAAATCCACTCAGGTGACATGGTATTGTGATTTAAGGAGAGTCTGAAATCCTTGTCACAAAGAGAATCTTTCTTCATTAGCAATTGGTCAAGATCCTCTCTAACTCCACAAAATGCCTAGAGCAAAGTGGTCAGTACTTCATCTCGTCCCTTTAAAAAGGCTTCAAAGGCTAAAAAGAATACCTTATAGCATTAGTAGGGGGATGTGGAAATGTGTGTGTGAGAAGAAAAAATATCTATAGCTCTACTGAATGGTAACTAAGTGATCTGTCATCAAAATTTCACATATACATATTTACTGCACCAATAATTATACTTTTAGGAATTTATCCTAAGGAAACAACATGTCAATTATACAAAGATGTATTTACAAGAACATGATAGTGTTGTGTATAGTATCAAAAAATTGGGGAAAAAATCAAATTAACAATAGATTATTGGTTAGATAAATTACTACACTCGATATTGGAACAATGAACAACCATTAAAACTGATTCTACCCAAGGTACAGAAAAATATATAATTTGCTACCCTTTTTTTGTTGGGGGAAAAAAAGGGAAGGGTGGGAATAAGATTATATGTTTCTATTTTTACATAAGAAACTCTGGAAGGATATACACCTCTGGAAGGATCCACAAGAAAAGTGAAAAAGGTTATGAGGGAGGTGAGGTTTAGCAATATGGTGGATGGAAGCAGGGGTGGGAGACTTCACTGCATATCTTCTTTTTTTTTTTTCTTAAGGATTGGCACCTGGGCTAACAACTGTTGCCAATCCTTTTTTTTTTTCCTGCTTTATTTCCCCAAACTCCCCCTGTACACAGTTGTATATCCTAGTTGCAGGTCCTTCTAGCTGTGGGATGTGGGACGCTGCCTCAACGTGGCCTGATGAGCAGTGCCATGTCCGCACCCAGGATCCGAACCCTGCGCCGCCGCAGCAGAGCGCGTGAACTTAACCACTCGGTCACAGAGCCGGCCCCCTGCATATCTTCTTAAAGTGTTTTGATTTTTGAACCATGTGAATTTATATAAAAATAAATGATGCTATGGTGTACATTTAATGACACAGAGAACAAGTCCTATCGCACTATATATTTTTTCATGGAAAGAGTAGGTGATAAATGAGTATGTAAAGATGAATCTATTTAAAAAACATGTTGTATTATAATCACGCACATATATAGATATGTGTGGAGGGGTGGAGTGGGACCTAGAACGGCCTACTTCAAAATGTTAACAGTAAGGGGGCCGGCCCCGTGGCCAACTGGTTAAGTTTGCGCCCTCTGCTTCAGCAGCCCAGGGTTTCGCCAGTTTGGATCCCGGGTACAAACACGGTACCGCTCATCAGGCCATGCTGAGGCGGCAACCCACATAACACAGCCAGAGGCACTCACAACTAGAATATACAACTATGTACTCGGGGGCTTTGGGGAGAAGAAGAAGAAGAGGAAGGGAAAAAAAAAAGATTGGCAACAGTTGTTAGCTCAGGTGCCAATCTTTAAAAAAAAAAAGTTAACAGTGAACACGGGATATTTTTCTTCTCTGTAATTTTCTAAATTTTTTGCTGTGTTACTTCCAAATCAGACACTTTTTTTTAAAAAACAATTTTTTTAGAGGTCCCACAAGTTGCCAGTTCAACAGAGGACATTTACATAGACAATTAAATCTCCATAGCAGAGACTGCTCTACTATATGTAGTTAATTTTAATATCCAAGTGGGCAAAATTCATCAGTCCCCTCCATATATTTAAGTGTGTTACCTGGGGAAATAAATTATACTATGTTTACAACAAACAATAGAGAATAGGTTAGAACAAGAGAAACAGGCCCTCTTCCTTTTTCCAGAGTTGGTAATAATTGACAACAATCAAGAGTAGTTACCAATTACCAAGTGTTTATGATGTGATATGTATGCTAAGCCTCCTCGGGGGTTGGTGGTGTTATCTCTACTTTAGAGACGATAAAATGAGGCTCAGAGAGGCAAATTAACTTTTCTAGGCCCACCTAGCTGGCCAGGGGCAGAGCTGGATTTTAACCTGTCTGTCAACTTGTGCTGTGAATCCACCTGACAGGTGGCCTCAGTGACAGCTTACTTGGTGTTGACTTCGTTCTGTTTGCTTGTAATTATATTTGCTGAGACTCTTTTAGGAATTTAAACTCAAAAACTCCAAATGTTTAATTTATTATTTGGTCATGGCATGAATTTGTTAAAAAGAAAACTTTCAGAACTCTAATAAGCATAATATACTTTAACTATTAAGTTGACATGATTTAAAAAAGGAAAAAAAATACCTGGCTGCAATATATCATTTTTTTTTTAGTAGGAAAATTTTTTTACCCAGCTATAAAATTATTACATGTTCATTATAGAAAATGTGGGAAATACTAAAAAAAGAAAAAAAGAAAAATTCACTAATTCTACATTAAGTAAGAACTGGTGCTCTGGTCTTTTTTCCTATGTGGTAATATAATAATATTTTCTCATGTGTCATTAAAATATAAGTATTTTCCAGAGTTGTTACTAAATCTTGATAAAATTCATTTTAAAAGCTATGCAACATAGTGTCATGAGATGCAGAATAGCTTACTCCACCAATTCCTTACTAGGCTATTTCAATTTCTTGCTGTCATAAAAAGTGCTGCAATGAGTATCTTTGTGCATAATGCTTTTTATGAATACCAGAAAATACTTTAGGATGGATGGATCTACTAATTCCAGAAAAGGCATATGGCAGTATTCTTTCTAAAATAATTGCATCAATTTATATTCCCATGAACTGTATAAAAGTGTCAGTTTTACTTTCCCTTCAATAGTACCTCTCTCTCCTTCAAATCTTTTCTAACTTGAGACATATAAAACATATTCTTGTTTCAATCTTCATTTTTTGTTTACTAAAAGTTTGAATTTTATTTTATTTATTTTTTTTGCTGAGGAAGATTCACCCTGAGCTAACATCCATTGCCAATCTTCCTCTTTTTCACTTGCGGAAGATTGGCCCTGATCTAACGTCTGTGCCAATCTTCCTCTATTTTGTATGTAGGATGCATCTACAGCACAGCCTGATGAGTGGAGTAGGTCTGTGCCCAGGATCTGAACCTGTAAACCGGGGCCGCCAAAGCGGAGCACGTGAACTTTAACCATTCAGCCATGGGGCCAGCCCCTGAAGTTTTTTTACTGAACATTTTTATTACTTACAGCCTGTTCCACTAATTTTCCTGACGCCAACTCTTCTTGGAGTTTCTGGGCTTTCAGTGTTCGTTTTGCCTAAGAAAAAAGGAAACGTTTGAAATTTACTTACAACATTCAAATGAACATTTAATCTTATATATTTAAAATAAATAAGTTTATTATTTTCAGAAAAGGTCACTGGACAAGATTACGTCTTTGAGATGTCTTGTAGCTCTAGACCCATAGCTCTCCAAAGAAGAGGAGTTGCAAAGCCCTGTATGAACCAGGCATTAACGTGAGCTGAGCTAGCCAGCACCAGCCGTAAACTGCAGAGAGCAAGCCTTGTCTAAATGGGGCAGTTGCCTCCTGACTCCAGATGACTGACTCTTGCCAGGCAGGCCTATGATTACCATATATTTCATTGTTCAAGAAAGATGAAATTCAGATGTTTATGTGAAATCCCATGATTTTTAAATGTTAACTCTACTTAAAAAATAAAATGGCAGTGTGACTATGGTTTTTAAGGAATAGGTGTGAGTAGGTGAAATCATAAAAGAAAAATCTGAGGTTGAACTAAACAACTCAATTTTCTCAATGGGTTACCCTATTCCTCTTCCACCACCCTCAAATGCCACGTGACAACTGTAAAACAGGCCCATGGGTAAGCCACAGTCTGAGGGCCAAGAGTTGATAACCTCAAAAAGCCAAAAGATTTGAATACTAATCTGTTCTCATGCTTCCAGGATTTTTTGCAACCTAAGTCAGGGAGTAAAGGACAATACAAGAATCAAATAAAAAGAAATTGCTGCCAAATAGGGCTAGCACACTGTTTATTTTCACCATTCAATTAGGCTTAGTATTATTACTATAATAAAAATGTCACCATTTTTATACTGCTCGAAGACACAAAAAATAGAGCTGCTAAATCAGAGCTACAGCAAAATGTACCTTCTTTAAGGATAGTAGGAAAGCAGGAAATTTTGCTCACCAGATCAACTTTGGCATATTCCTCTACAATTTTCATGTGTTCTTCCGGATTGTAGCCATTCCACCGATCCCTCTTCCCATCATAGTCAAACATCAGCTGAGGCTGGACATGTTCATCTGGAGCTATATTAGTACCTGTAAATTTTGCTCCAACTCGCCTGGGTCTCTGGAAAACAGAATAAGATTAAATCTTTTCCTAAGTATCTGTAGCCCAGAGGAAAATTTTGCATAATCTTTACAGAGTGGGTGTGAACACACCATGGGACTTTACGGTCTATTCGATTATCAGTTAGGCTTCCAGCAGAAAATTTTGATGGTGCTAAACATTTTCACTCAATTTTTATTTAACTTGTACCTAAAAACAGTAATTTTAGAAAAACAGAATTAAGCTCTCTGACAAAGAATAAAGAAAGACTCTGACAAGTTTCCAAACTTCTCAAAGGTGAACTTACCTCAAAGCAGTCTTTCTTTTTGTGTGTCATGGCGCCACAATTTTCACATGCTCCTTTGCGGTACTTAGTTGTTATGGAATTCTACAAATGGATATAATGAAAAACAAAGAAAGTGTTCCATTTATCTGCATAAGTTAGAAATAACTTTGGCTCTCTTTACTATATTGTCTAGTGAAATGATTTATTTGTTAAGAGGAAAATAAGCTAGTCTTCACGTTGTTATAAATGAGAAAGTTTAAGGACTTCAGCAATATAAAATTTAAAAGGGAAAATACAGAAGCTAAAGTAATACATATTGTGAATTTTAATACCAGACAAAAGGTTACATAATCTGTTTCTACTTTATATAGTACTGCATTAAAGGTTCTTATATTAAGTTCTTAAAATAAAATCTCCATTTCTACATGGATATACACTGGCTGCCTACATACCTCTTTTACACCCCTCTTGTACCATTCTCCAGAGGAGCTGTACTGCTTCTGTTTCTCTGGTTGTGGTCTCTGATGCTTTAAAGTAGGTCTTTTTGATGGATCAATATACCATGGCACGGAAGAAATATACTGAGGAATATGAGGGTTGATGTCTCTGTAATAAAATTAAAAAATTAAAAAAAATAAAGTTAGAAAATAATTGGTATTACAAAGGCAGCCTATCCAGAATCTAAAAATCGTTATTGCAATGGGAGGGGGGAGAGAGAATATGCTCAATGTTCCTATAATGAAAAATAAGTAAAAATAAAGTAATTTATCTTAGAGTGAAAAAATTTCCAACACAGAAACTAAGAATAATGCCATAACTGAAGGGGAAGGAGAGACGAAGGAAGATTGGGATGTATGTTAATGAGATAAATCTTGTATCAGAACAAGAAGTTAACTAATAATGTGTAGAGTTGTATAATGGTGAAGATACATTATTTAGAGATGTGGAGGTATCAACCAGAAAATCTCAAAATAGAAAGATTTGAAAGCAGTCACTTTTGTAGCGTGGAACAGGGAGTGGGAAGGGCTGAAAGGGACTATAGCTATGCATCACAGGCCCTCCAATATTATTTGATTACTAAACCTTACACATAGGAGTTTGATAAAATAAATAATAACAAAAAGATGATGTAAATGGTAAAGATGGCTTCCTGTCAAAGCAAAGGATGAGAAATTGATAAACTAAGTAGACATGAATTTGAATTTTGAATGAACAGATCATGCAAATACAGTACTTACTTCCCTTCTTCGTCAACTTCTGCAGGAGCATTACCCAGTTTTCTCTGTTCTTCTAGTTCCTTCTTCTTTCTCCAGTCCTCTCTGGTCATCTTCTTTGGTTCCTCCAAACTCATTTCTTTGGACCCCGACAGGGAGGCAGCATTAACTGCATCCACAGCTGCAGCTGACATGGTTAATTGCCCTCCTCTATGAAAAGGAAGAAACACACATTAGTATAAACTAGGCCTTCATGAGTTCATCAGTGAAACTATCAAAAGTACATCCTAATAACACATACTGTGGGTTATACACAATGTGTCATATGTTCTTAGTCTTTCATAGTGTCTGTAAGGGAATGGTGTCTTTCCCCTCCTATTGCAGTTTCTCCCTCAACTCTCACCTACAAATGGAGAAAGACACACACAAACAGGTATTGAAAATTTTGTAAGACTCTTTCTCTCAGATATATTCCTGAATTCCTCTCTTTCTAGGTAGGTGTCTCAAACTTTTTTACCACAATAACCCTTAATGAGTAAACAGGGTCCTATCTCTGGTCCTCTTAAAGACTGAATGAGTTATCTATATTCATTGTCACTATTTCCGCATCTCCTTCCTTCCTCGATCACTCTAATTTAGCTTCCACCCCGCTACTCCAAAGAGTCACCACCAAGATATCAATGATCAATGTGCTAAATCCATTGGACATTTTTCAGTTCCGTTCCTTCTCTTTTTGATATATTCTTATCCCTTGGCTTGTGTGACACTATACTCTCCTGGTTTTTCTTGTATCCCTCTTGCTACTCCTCCTGTCTGCTCTGAAGGTTCATCCATTTCTGCCCAGTTATTTAATTTTGGATTCCACAAGGCTCCATCCTAGAGTCTCTTTCATCACTCTGAACTCCACCTGTGGACAAGCTCATCTATTTCCAAGGCTTCAATAGCCACAGTATACCACTGTTGGCTCTCCAATTTATTTCTCTACTCCAGACCTTTTATCTGAACTGCAGATACATAAGTCCAATTGCTTACTTCAGAGCATCTCCACATACAGGTCTCAGAGACACCTAAACTCAACAAATCTTTTTTTTTTGGCTGAGGAAGATTCACTCTGAGCTAACCTGCTAACCTCTCTTGCCAATCTTCCTCCTTTTTTTTTGCTTGAAGAAGATTAGCCCTGAGCTATCATCTGTGGCAATCTTCCTCTACTTTGCATGTGGGTCGCTGCAGTGGTGTAGGTCAGTGCCCAGGATCGGAACCCTTGACCCCGGGCTGCTGAAACCAAGCTCCCTGAACATAACCACTACACCATGGGGCCTGCTCCTCAACAAATCATAGTTCAAATTCATGATCTTCTCCACGAAATCTAGTTTCCTTCCACTGTTTCCTCTCTTAACGAAAGACACCACCATCCATCGCTTTACGTAAGTGTTCCAGCTAGTCCTCATACCTATTTCATCATTATTTTCATTTTTTGAATATCATTCAAATTCACCTATTTCTCTCAATTCTCAATGCTACCACCTTCGTGTTATTACTTTTCCTACTAGTCTCCTCCAAGTCCCTCCAATCAATTCTCCACACTGCAGTGTTATTTCTTCAAAGCACAAATTTTAAACACAATTATAGCATGTCCCACAAGCTTAAAACCCTCCCACGCAGGGCTGTCCAACGGAAATATAATGCCAGCCCTATACATCATTTAAAATATTTCAGTAGCCATATTAAGAAACTAAAAACAAACAGGTAAAATTACTTTTGCAATATTTTATTTAACCCAATATATCCAACATATCATTTCAATATTAAAAAAACAAAGTAAGTCTCTAAAATCTGATATGGATTTTACACTTATTCAGACTAGCCACATTTCAAGTGCTTAAAAGCCACAAGCAGCTAACAGCTATCATACTGGGCAGTGCAGCTTCAATCGCCTTTTATAATTCTTACTCTAAAAACCACTGAGACACAGTCCTGGTCTGGCCGGGCACGAATACCGCGTCTAAGGCCTAGTACTGCGGCTTCTTTGCCGGTCCCTGCTCCCCGTTCCCTCCTCAACCTGGCGTTCCCCGTCAGGAGACATCTAAGAACTAGGGGACTTTGATCTATTTTCCGGGGTTCCTCAGCTTCACCTGCTTCTCCACCCCTAAGTCCTCACAGTAGTTCCTTACCCAGTCCCGCCGCAGCCGACCCCAAAACCACCGCACAGAAACCAAAGCGATGGGTCAATGTTTACTTCCTGGCTTTCCACCTCCTCCCGGCAGCCACCGCGGTATCTTCAGAACGATCGACACATGCGCATTAATAACCCCTGGCGTCGCAGCTCCCAGGAGACGTTGATCTCGCGAGATCTCGAGCTATACCTATTTCTCTACCTCGGGTCAATAGGCGGAGCTAAGGTTGAGCAGCTTCTTTTCCACTCCCTGTATGTGCAGCTGTTTCTTTTAGAATCGCAGACTCTTATGATGGAAAAAAAAAATGATCACCGACAACGGACGACAGCTTACGCCTCACTTAGCACTATGAAATGAATGGGGAAGCGCGTTAGGCATTAAGTAAAAAAAACCCCAAACAGTTAAAATTAGTATTAGTTAGTAGCCAGGTACTGTGTAACATGCTGGGGACCTAGTGAACACAAAGCGTCTTTCTCTCCTTGTATTTATATCATACAGAGTGAGAAAGACACTAAAATAGTTATTGAGGTGATTTACAGTTGTAGAGAGTCGCTCTGAAAGGAATACCAGCGCTGTGAGAACACAAGGCACTATTTGGTAATTGTGACACCTGGCTTTGAACTGATCTTATACTTTATCATTAGAAAAAAAATACTATAAAACGGTTTCCCTTTTGGGAAAACAATACTATCCATGACATCCCAACCCTCCTTTTAAAGTATATGTATGAAATAAAGTACTGAAAAGTAAGCAGTAATTTTCCTAGTAGACTTTACTCCGATTTTTTTTCCCTATCTGTTCTGGTCATGTTTTTCTTATTTTTCAAAATGACATGTAAGAGTGAAAATATCTAACATCTTTGCCTCAATAAGAGAGCCCATCATCATATAATCTATTTTTTTTCTTATTAAGAATTTGCAGTGCCTAGAGTTTAAGAACGGTAAATATTAATTTTGATTTTACAGGGAAATAGATGAAGGAACAGAAAATGTCAGAGAATAGACTTAAAGTGCATAGTCCCCGAAGCACCCACACTTTGTTTTTATCTCCCTAAAGAAGTTCCTGAAATTTGCTTGGAAGTGTTGAGGCCTATTTAGTTAAAACCACCAGGCACAAGCCAGGGAGCACATCTCCCACAGGAAGCATAGAATGTGCTGGACAAGCAGGAATAATCTTTTGTAAAGTTTGGATTCTGAGGACAGTCTAGGGAAGCAGGGATCAGTTCTGGATGGGTTGCTGTTTGTGAATGGGTATTAGGATAAACTAGGATTGATTAGGATTTGGGTGCTATTAGGAGATGAGTGTGGTTTAGCGACTGGGTATCCCTAGTAATGGTTTGGAATAACAAAGTGGGTCTGGGGCATCGTTAGTAAGAAAACAGTGGTCACTCAAAGAGGGGGTGGTTATGGCATTTTACAGTTACTGCATGACCTAGAGAGACACGACACTTTCTGTCATAAGGGGAGGACTTACCCTAGGGAGATATAAACCCTGCACCCAAAGACCTTAGGAGATAGAGAATCCCCACTTGGAAGCTGTAGATGTTGTACAAATTTGGTTTCAAAGTGAACATTTGTGTGCTGATAATGTAATATGGAGCTGAGACATATAGAAGGAGATACGGGGGAAATTAAAGGGAGGGTTGGGAGTAAAAGAAAAAGGACAAGGAAGGGGCAATAAAGGCACGCATGATTTTCTGTACTCCTGCTTTTCTTCACCTTCTTGAGTTAGGATCTTTCTTCTTGATGCCTAACACATTATCCAGCATTTACTCAGCATTCAATAAATATTTGTTGAATGAATTAATGATTTAATCAATTTTGATCCTGAAATGCCAGGGAAGAAGGGTCAATGAACTGGCATATATTAAGAACCATGTCTGTGCCAGGTGTAGTGTTAAACCTTTTGTGAAAGAGTAATGTAGGGTCAACTCCTCTCTCCCAACTTACCTGCAGGTTAAATGTATCTGGTGACCTATGGGGAGTAGGGTTTGCCTGACACAGGTCAGCTTTGGTCTTTTGAATTTATTCCTTTATCTTGCATTTGTTCAATATATTTCCATTTACTGTAGAAATAGGAAAAGTTCGTCAACCTTTTCAAGCATAGTTTCTCTCCATATCTTGAAATTGGAATTCCTTTTCTATATCTTTATTATTGCTTTAATCTTCTCTTGTTCATCCATCTGCCTTTCCCCACCAGGGCCTTCCAGGTGGTTTTGATGACTACATATATTGTTGAGATGTTAGAAGTTTAAAATAAGTCCCTATTAAATGACAGAATTTTAAAGGAAGCCTGAATTATGTGTTTTGTAGGATCATCATTTTGTTCCTAAGTCAGATTCCTGATGCTACAGAAGAGACAGCATCCTAGCCTGAAATGTTGAGGATAGATAGTCCTGCAATTAGGGAATAATCAGTACATTCTTAATCACAAGCATAACAGAATGACTCCCACATTGCTGTTTGATCTATCTGTACCTACATTTCTTCTTAATTCTGCTCTGCTACTAGTGTTCCTTAGACCTAATGTGGGTTGTCTTCCCCACCTGACTATATATGTATTCTTTCATGTCTCTAATTGAGATACAACTATTATGTACCCATTTTTCCTCAGTTATGACTCAGTTTTCCAGTGACTACAATGCCTTTCCTCCAGTGCTGTTCCTTCTTTTTATTTGACTTGATCCGGTCTATTTATTCTCTGGACGGATGGTTCATTAGTTGAAGACCTTAGGAAAATAGTTCTGTCGCCACCTTGCACTGACTTTTTTGAACCTCGCAAGCTTTTCATTTAAGAACGTCTTGGTCACCCATGTGTTTCAGGAACGAACGCAAAACTCTGTATCTTGATATCATAAGAATCATAATAATTATTTATTTCTTGGAAGTGGAGACCATATTCACTCCCTTTCTATCTATGTAGGGAGCAGATTGAAAAAACACCTACAAGTCCGTGATTAAGGTGTCAGCAAGTTTGTTTTTTTTCTTCTCAGGAAACAAGCTACAAAACTTCCCGGGAAAAAGCTTCCGGGGGCGGAGCCCAGAGAGCTTAGGTTCCTCCCATTGGTTCTTCCTGGGAGCCTCCGCCCCACCCCGGTCCCGCCTCTTGGGCGGATGAACCAATAGGGGCGTGAGTTGTGGTTTAAACGCAGATTCTGGTGCGACCGCTGGAGACCGAGTCTTGGGTGGTTTTGGCTGTTGATCCCAACGTGGGTGAATGGAAAGGTTGCTAGTGGTTGGGCCAGCGGGGTCTGGCGAGGAAGGAGACGGACCGGACCGGGGCTGGGGGCCGGGGGCCGGGAACTGGGAACCGGGAGCCGGGGTGTTGGGGCCTGGGGGCTGGAGGCTAGGGCTACCCCGGGTTGTCTATGGCCCCGGACTGCGTCCGCCACCCAGGGCGGTTCGGTTTTGATGAGTACCAGGGCCTATGCCAGCCCCAAACCGCCAACTCTTCAGGGGCTTAGAGCCTCTGACGCAGGTTTCGAGCGTTAAGAGCTGGCTTAAGTGCTTGTTGGCTCAAGATCCGGCTTCTCCTTCTTAATTCTTGTTTTTGCGTGGACGTGCCCAGGATAGAAAGTTTGTTCTGAGCTACACCTTAACTTCTGTCGTCTTCCCTAACCCCTCAGGGTCTAATATGTACTTCACATCCCTAGTTTAATCCAGAATGGCTACTCTGATCTTTGTTGATAAGGAAAATGGAGAACCAGGCACCCGTGTGGCTCCTAAGGACGGGATGAAGCTGGGGTCTGGGCCTTGTAAGTATACAGGCTGCAGTCAGATACACAGGTATTGTGAAGCAACTGTGAATGTGGCCTGGAGCTGGGGGAGGCATTTGGTGTCCTTTGTTGGCAAATGGAGTCAGGTTACGGAATACTGTTATTGTAACGTGCTTGTTATGGGTCCCTTTTTCAGGTTCAATGCCTTAATGAGATTATTTAAGAGGGTCATAAACTGAAGTACTATTAGGCATATCATGGCCATGCCACTGTCAAAAATGGGAGTTGAGGGGGCCGGCCCCGTGGCCTGGTGATTAAGTGCGATGCGCTCTGCAGCGGGTTCAGATCCTGTATGCAGACCTATACAACTGGTCAGCCATGCTGTGATGGGGACCCACATCAAAAATAGAGGATTGGCACAGATGTTAGCTCAGGGCTAATCTTCCTCAAGCCAAACAAAAAAGAGAGGAAGATTGGCAACAGATGTTAGCTCAGGGCAACTCTTCCTCAGGGAAAAAAAAAAAAAAGGTTGTGTTTAGGGATGAGAATTAGGCCAAGTTTATATACACAGTCAGCCTTCAAGGTGCACAGGTGTCTACTGCCTACATAATCTTATGGTAAGACTTTTCCTTCAGCAGTCAAAGCCTTGGATGGGAGATCTCAAGTTTCAACACCACGTGTTGGGAAAACGTTTGATGTTCCCCCAGCCTTACCTAAAGCTGCCAGAAAGGCTTTGGGGACTGTCAACAGAGCTACAGAAAAGTCAGTAAAGACTAATGGACCCCTCAAACAGAAACAGACAAGCTTCTCTGGCAAAAAGGTGAGTGTTGGCTATAAAGACACTATTTAAACACTTCACTTTTGACTCATAAAATGACTATTGGCGTCCTACCTGGCTTGCTTTCCTGTGAGCAAAAGGAAACAGAGGCAAACATAGATAGCAGATGAAAGTCAGACTCTCTTTGTGGACTTCCTCTGTACCTCAAAATTAGAAGTCGCAGAAGCAGCTGGTGAATATTGTTGCCTCACCTGCCCTTAGCTAGTATCTTGAAGCAGATTGGTTGGTAGTGTCTACTTACAGATACATGAAGTAGTGCGAGCAAGGGTGCTTACGTTGTAAGTGGTCGCGTTCCTAATGTAATAGCTCAGGTGCTACCATCCTCCTCCCCACGTCCCAGAGCCAGCACCAGCTCGTTGGGTGATAATTTGCTAAAATGTTGGCATTTGTGTGTGTGTGCATGAGTTGTAGGTCAGTGCGTCCCAGACCAAGAGGACTTTGCTGTGAAAGGTGACTTCAGCATAGAGAGTAACACTTTATTTGAATAATTGGTTTAATGTGTATTAGGAAAAAACAACTAGTACTTTACATCAAACCCGTGGCTTACACGTAATACGGCCTAGGACAAGGATGTCTTTTTAAAAAACTGAGTTGACTTAGAAACGTTAAATATGGGTATTGCAAGGACATGGCAAAAATAAGGAGAATGTGACACAGAACCAAAGTGTGGGAAACCCTGCCATAGGGATTTGCTCTATGTGTAAGGTTAAATCCGGAAAACTCAGGCTTCGTTTTGGCCTGCCGCTGTCGTGGACTGCCTACCTCTCAGTTCCAGACGAGGCAGTGATCGCTGGTGGGCTTCTAAAGTCCTTGACTGTTTTTTGCTGCCTCTTACTATGTGTATGTATTTGAGGAATACAAACTTGTTTTTAATATTAACCAAGCAAGTAATGAAGATAAATCACACTTCCAAAAGCCAAAAATGGCTTCTAGGACTAGCTACTATTCTGGGTGCTCATGCCCAGATTCTTCTCTGTTAGGCTGAGTGAGTGAGTTGATTAGCTCTGAATTAACTCCACTCTGCATTCTTGATAGTTTATGCTGACAGGTGCCAGTACTTAAATTTCGGACTTAACTTTTGAACCCTGCTACTAGAATGGCTTGCTGAATTGTATTTGCGTGTAATCATGACAACTGAAGATTATGGTTTCTTAGAAGTCCGCATGAAATTGAAAACAAACTGTAGCAAAGCAGTCGCATGTCTTGAGGAAGCTCTATGATCTCTTGTACTAATCAGTTGACAAGGCTTCCACTCTCACTAATCGGTATTTTCTTGGCTTGTTTTAGGTGACTGACAAGACTGTGAAAGCAAAAAGCTCTGTTCCTGCCCCGGACGACGCCTATCCAGAAATAGAAAAATTCTTCCCCTTCAATCCTCTAGGTAGTATCTTGTGGTGTTGCACAAATGCGTTAGCCTTGAGTTTCAAACATAGGACCCCAACTATAATGAGACTGTCTGAATCTGGGTGTCTTTGAACAAATCTAATTGTTGGTGGAATGATTTGTAAGGTATTATCCTTACGTCAGGAGGGAAATCAGAAGATGTGGAGAGCATTGTTCTGTCCTCAGAAGCTAACCACCTGGGGCAGAGAAGATGCGCTCACTAACAGTGAAGAAGTCTAAAGTGGGCAGTCTTCCTGGCAAGCCTTTTAGACAGTGGGCTTTGTGTCAAGTTGAGCAATGCCTGAAAAATCCACATAGCCAGTGAAAATGTGTTTTTTTAACTCCTTCAACCAGCTACATGGATCTGAAATGTTTTGTATTATAGAACCTGCTTCTCAAGCTTTAATTTCCTCACATTTGAGGAGAGGCTACTGTATGCCAGGCACTATTAGGCTGTGAATGAAATGATTAAGAAGACAGGCCCTACCCTGAGGGAGTGCAGGATTTGGAGGGAGAGTCAAGCACTGAACCAATCATCTCTGTGCTGGAGTGTGAGCCAGGAGAGAAAGAGGGTGGGCTTCTGAGGGGACTGACCCAGCCTGGAAGAGCGGGGAAGCTTTCTCTCAGGAAGTGACCTGAGGTTGAGTCTTGAAGGATATAAGGAGGTAGCTGGGTGAAGGGGAGAGGCAAGGCAAAAGTATTGTACCTACGTGTGTGCAAAGATCCTGAGGCAGAACAAAGGCCTGGAGTGGTTCTGGGAGACCGACTGAAAGGCCAAGTGAAGGATGTTGCTGGTGCCTGGGTGGGGGCAGACCACGAGGGCCCAAAGAGCATTTAGTCATTCTGCTAATGTACATCTAAGTTTTTTCTGGCTGTTGTATATTACAAACAATTCTGCCATTAGTATCGTCGAAATTATATTGTCGCGAGTTTGTGGGTATATCTGGAGAGTAAACTTTAAAAAGCATTGTTGGGTCTCAAAGTGTGTGTAATTAAGTTTTGATAAAACATGGTGCATCCATTCTAATGATTAACATTCAGGAAAATGAGGTAGGTTTATGCATATTGACCAGGGAAGAGGACTATAATATGCTGTGTTTGAGGAAAGAGATACTGCTAAATTGCCCTCCAAAACAGAAGCATAAATAAGCGAACCCACCTGCAGTGGGTGAGGATGCCTCCCTTCCCCGTGTTCTCTAACTGCAGATGTTTCAAAACTCTAATCTTTACCAGAAAGGCAGCAGGTCTCTCATGTCTTAAATTGGGGGATGTTTGTGGCTGAGCATGTTTGATTATTGGCCATCTATAGTTTTTCTTTCTCTTTAACTTCCTGTTTGTATCTTTGTTTGCCTTTGATTATGTGACTTTCTTACAGATTGACTTATTTTTTAAGGGCTCTTTGTGGATAAAGGAAATTAGCCTTGTTATGTTGCCGACTTCTTTCCTCTGGCATCTTTGTCTATGGTTTCCTTTACAATTCAGTGGTTTTAAACTAAGTAGTCACGCAACACTCGATTTCTTTCTGACTTCTGGGTTTGACCAGGCTTGAAAAACAACAGACAATTCTTAGTACTTAGGCTATAGAAAACTTCACATTTCAGAAAATGATGGTTCTCCCTCCATCTTTGTTCTTATCTTTTGAGGAAGCACTTAACCTCTTTGAAAAGAGGAAAGACTCAATATTTGAATCTTAGTTCTGTTACTGTCAAGAGGAATCAGTTTTAAATAATTTCTAAGAAGTAAGGCACTCAGATTTTAAGAAGGAATGTTACCTAACAGAGTGGTTCTCAAATTTTTTGTTTTAGGACTTTCTCACACTTAAAAATTAGCAAACACCCCAAAGAAGCTTTGTTTGTGTGTTCTGTTTCTATTTCCTGTATTAGAAATTAAAATTGAGAAATTAAAAAAATTAATTGGTTAAAAATAAACCTACTACGTTAATGTTAACAACTTTTGTTTTTTTCATAAAATAACTTTTCCAAAACAAAACTTAGAAGACTGGCATGGTGTTATACTTTTGAAGATTTGCTTAATTTGGCTTAATTTAAGACAGCTGGATTCTCATCTGATTCTGCATTCAATCTGTTGCATCTGTTTTGGTTGAAGTATGAAGAAAATTGGGCCTCGTGGAGATACATGATTAGGAAAGGGAGAAGTATTTTAGTAGTCTTTTCAGATAAGTCTGGATAGTTTTCTTTGATACGGCACTAAAACTCAACAATGTTTTCCGACCCATAGTTGCAATCTGGAATCTGAAACCATGTCAATGAACACTTTATCCTCTGACAAAATCTATTGGTCTATTTTGTACTTCCAATGTATCTTTTATCCTTGCATTTATCTCGCATTGGTCATTTAGAAGTATTGGTTCACTGAGAAATGTAGATCATCCAAATGTTGAAATGTTTCATTATGTGACATCAAAAGCACGTTCATTAACATCACTGATCTCTTCAGAAAAGTCTAAGTATTAGGAAGCTGTCAAGCTAATGATTGCAGATAAGTTTTCCAAAGCTCTGGTTTTTTTCCTTGAAATTGTGAATTTTGTCATTGGCAACAAATACTGTTTTCCTTGAAGTGATAGACTTCTTTCATTCCTCTGAGAAAATGTGTGACAAATATCCAAGTCTGAGTAACCATGGTTTGTCTTTCCGTTCTTCTTTCGACTACGTGGTGTTCCAGGAAAAAGGCCTCTAGTTTCGCTTGAAAATCAAATCATTGTGCAAATCTTTTTCTTTGAGATCACCGTGGTATTTCAGTTTGCAACAGATGTGCTTTATGGCATACTTCTCATTTTATCGTACAGAATACTAAAAAGACATGTTCTCAAAGGTTGAGAGCTAATAAAATTAATACTACATATGGTAAAGTGATATGTGAAACTGGCATTTTTTACTGCAAGCGAATGACAGGAATAGAGTGACTACTAAATATAGTTTATTACCACTGCCTTGATTCGTTCTATGACACAGCAGTTTTATCCACCATTGCTTTTGTACCATCATTGCATCAACCCAGTGGGAAAGAGTATTAATGTTATGAAAAATAGTTTGACCTCATGGACCCACTGAAAGGGTCTCAGACCTCCAGAGGCCACTGACCACCCTGAAAACTGTTGCCTTGACAAAATGCTTTCTCGGTGACAGATTTTGAGAGTTTCGACCTGCCTGAAGAGCACCAGATTGCACACCTGCCCTTGAATGGAGTGCCTCTCATGATCCTCGAGGAGGAACGGGAACTTGAAAAGCTGTTACACCTGGGCCCCCCTTCCCCTCTGAAGATGCCTTCTCCACTGTGGGAGTCCAGTAAGTGAACAAGTGCCCTTCTCGAAGGGCTGCAAACAATTTGTGTCATAACACTTTCCTTAGCCTGCGCACAGAGTTGTGTGGAAGGTTAGCCTGCAAGTAATTTCTATCCCTCACATTCAGGGATAAGGTTCCAGAACTGGTACTGCTTTTTAGTCCCAAATGCCCGGGTAGAATTAGGGCATTCTGGAATCTGGACAGTCTTAGATACAGCAAAACAAGATTGAATTTAGCATATAGCTTCTTAGATTATAAATCGAAGTAGAATAAACTTGCTTAGAATGAGAGTTCCAAGTTATGTCCAAAGCTAATATAGGATCAAGACAGCTGTGTAATAACAGCATGACAAAACCTTCTTACTGCAGAAGGTTTGAGGACTTGGTTCCTGCTGGTGGTCAAAAGTATGTTTTCTATTTATTCTGATGGGATAACTTATGCTATTTTATAAATTACATTAGTGACATTGTTGGCTCTTACTTGGGTCTCTAAGAACAGTAGAGTTTCAGGTACTTCTAAGATTTATTTCCTAATTAATGAAGGTTAATTCTGGGACCACAGCCACGTCTCCAAGTGAGCGAGAGTGTGTGTATGTGTATGTGTGTAGGTAGGGCAGGGTAGGGATTCATTAGACAAAGGGAAAAACAAGAATTTATGATTAAAAGTGATAACTAATGCCTGTTGAGATGGACCGTGACTCAAGGATTTGCACATATTGAATAAGAAATTCCTGTTTTCTAGATCCGTTGCAGTCTCCCTCAAGCATTCTGTCAGCCCTGGATGTTGAATTGCCGCCCGTTTGCTATGACTTCAACATTTAAATTTCTTAGCACTTTATAGTTTGTGTGTATGTATGAATAGTTTGTATTAATAAAGCAATTCTTTGTTTAACAGACTCTTAATATTGTGGTTGGTATTCTTTGGAATCTGCTTAAAACAGTGTGAAAATTAGTGGAAGTGTTTAACAGACAAGAGTCTAGAATCTGACAATGGAAGTTTGTCTGATTTGAAAAACTTATCTTAAAACCCTTTTGTTTGTTAACAGCTTACTTTAGAAGCTACCACTGTTTTCCCTGAAACATATACCCCTCAATGTGTACTTTATTGCCTTTTTGTGGCCATTAACTAGTGCCAGTTATTAGATCTCTTAATTGGAGGAGCCACTTCCAGCTCATTAAGTATCTATTGCTAGGCATTCTTTATTGCTGGTTCTGTTTAGTTTCTAATGACTTGAATGCTCAGTGTTCAGTAATCAGAATTTGGAAGCCTCTAAATCTTCTGAGAACTCGACCTCCCTGGGATCTTTGATTAGGTTCTTTGAAGATCACACCAGTTGGTTTACTGACAGGAAGATCCGCTCTTCACCTGTAAGAAGCTCTGTTTCGTTGCTCGCCCTGTGTTGGACATCAAGTGTTTGATAAGCATTGCATTTCATGTTCATGACCCTGTTTTTCAGATGAGGACAGTGAGGTTCGGAAGTTCATTAATAGGCCAAAGACATGAAGAATTAGAAAATGATAAAGCTGGTATTTTGATTCCAAATCTGAGATTGGAATCAAAATATCGGAGATTGCAAATGGTTGCTGTGGATTTTCTTTTTTGGGGGAGGGGAGTGGATATTTTAAAAAAAAACATTGTTGTCACCATTTAAAATTCCAGAGTTTCACATATTTTTGGTTTTGGAGCTTCTCTAGGCAATAGGAGGCCCTGGTTTCCAGCACTTGGTGGACTGGCGATGGGGTGCTGGCTGCCTTTTAGGTGGACTGTGGGTTTTCTGTCCTCAGAACCTACCTGAGGTGGCCTGAAGGGAGAGCTGGCGTGTCCTTTTACTCTGTCTCTTCTCTGACCCAGCCTACTTAACTCACTTTACTTGCCGGGGCCATGTAGTCAATTGAATTTGATCCTTGCTCAATACTAACCTATGTAGGAAGCCTTTTCCCTAAACATCTGTAGCATTTATAGTCAAGTTAGAGTGCAAATCCTTTCTTTTCCATCACTATTAGAGGAAGCTGCCAGATGCTAGGCATAAAGTACCAGGAGCACATACAGACACTGGTCCTGACTTTGAAATTTTTGCCCTCTGAATATGACTGAATCGTCTGAATTTGTGGAATTAGTAGAAAGGCTTCTGAAAGAATAAGATGACAAAAGCGCTTTTCTTTAAGGGAGACTATTAGATCCAGCATCCTTGGGTATAATAGAACTACTTTGAAAAGCCAAACATAATAGTGAATGGCTTTTGTACTCTACGTAAATTTAGAAACTTTGGGAAGTGGCCTCTTGTGGTGGAGGGAACAAAGGGCTGGGAGCAAGGCGACTAGTCAGTCCCTCACCAGTGAGTTACTGTCCTCCGTCAGACCTGAGTGCCGAGTGATCTCTTTGTCTGCTGTTAATCTGGATGCAAAGTGCTTAATGCTTGTTGAGACTCTCAGAACTTTAAACAGATGCTTCTCCATTAAGAGAATTTTCTGGGATTGTTGCTGTTTGCGTACAAGTTACGAAGTATAATGTATTTGGCTTCATTACTTGAAAAAGCTTATGAGAAGCCCCATTTGGAGTTCTAGTCTGTCCAAACTCTGGGATTAAAGTTTCTTTCAGGTCAGGCAGTTGCCTGCACTGGACCTTCAGGGGGCTCTTGTCCGTAAGGTTCACCCACCCCTAGCTTGCTCCTCTCACGGCATTTTTCAGGCTTCAAATTCCAGTTACCCTTCAACAGGAACACAAAGCCTTTTCAATATATTGATGTTAATATTCTCTATCAGGCCAATACTATGCAATAGGACCAACTCACAAAAGGGTCAGTACTACGTAGAAATTCCTAGGTTGACTTTGTTCTTTCCGTTAGTTTAATCATAAGTCCTTTACTGAGGCCCCACCGTGCTGGGGACCAAGCATAGGATGGTTAAGTAATACTTCCCCCCCATCCTCAGGAGCCTGTGCTCCAGTGGGCGAGGCAGGCAGGAAACACCCTCACAACAGGGGATAAAGGCATGCAGGGGCGGAAGGACCAGGGCTGTGGAGCGCTCCCCAGCCCAGCGTAGGGAAGGGCAGGGACAGCTTCCTGAGGAGGAACGTGTGGATGGAGACTTGGTGGAAGAGAAGTGTTCTGGGCAGGGGGAACAGCTTTTGCAAATTCAAGGAGGCAAGAGAACGCAGCTTGTTAAATGAAAACTGCCTTTTTTTTTCTGCTTGAGGTTTGGGCAAGGAGCTTGGCTGGCAACAGAGGAGTCTGGAGAGTTAAGCAGGGGCCAGATGGCTTGTAAACTATGTCGGGGGGTTTACAGTCTGTCCTACGTTTGGAGTTTGTCCTGTGGGTGTCACGGAAAGGTTTTAAGGAGAGAAGTGACAGGGTCAGGTTTGTGCTTCAGAAACTCACTCAAGAGGCAGGGAGTGGTTACCAGAGGGGAGAGGGGGAGGGAGGAGGGTGAAAGGGGTGATTAGGCATGTGTGTGTGGTGGTGGGTAGTAATTAGTCTTTGGGTGGTGAACATGGTGTAATCCACACAGAAACTGAAATATATAACAATGTACACCTGAAATTTATATAATGTTATAAACCAATGTTACTGCAATAAAACATACATTAGAAATTTTTTTTAATTAAAAAAATGGGGAATAAAAGAGGCAAGGAGACCAATTTGGAGTCTGTGGCAGATGATGATGAAATGACCTTGAGGAGGTGACAGTGGAGAAAAGAATAAGGCTGGAGGAATCTAGGGTTTGGAATTGGCAGGGTGGCAAATGGTGGGGAGGAAGGCACAGAAAAGAGTCAAGGATGTACCGAAAAACCCCTCACGTGTGAGTGTCCCCGTGTGTTTACGAGGATGTTTGCTGTCACATAGTTTGTAATGGGAAAATGTGATACAGATATACAGTAGAATAAAATGCATTCTTTGAAAGGACAAGGTTGGGGCTGGCCCTGTGGCCGAGTGGTTAAGTTTGTGTGCTTTGCTTCGGTGGCAGGGTTTCGCTGGTTCAGATCCTGGGCGCAGACATGACACTGCTCATCAGGCCATGCTGAGGCAGCGTCCCACATGCCACAACTAGAAGGACCCACAACTAAAATATACAACTATGTACTGGGGGGATTTGAGGAAAAAAAGCAAAAAATAAAAAAAAAATAAAAGGACAAGGTAGATCTACATGTGTGGACATGGAAAGATAACCACGGAACTTTTCCGGTGTAAACATGGGCTATAGAACAGTGTCCAGGATCACTTTTATTTAAATGCATATATACATATATGCAACAGAAAAGCATGGTGGTGGGCAGTACAGCCTCCAGAATCAGATCCTGGATCAGCAACTTAGGTGCTCTGTGACCTTGGGCACATTGGTTAACCTCTCTGAACTTCCATTTTTTTCATCTGTGAAACCCAAAATAAAATTTATCTTGAAAGGTGGTCAGGAGGGCTATATGAGCTAATGCATGAACACTCAAAACAGGCTTGGCCTGTTACTATTACAGTTAGGTTGATTTGTGAGTACAAAAATATCTGTAAAGCTATACCTTTTGTCTATTACCAGGGTTATCTTGTGTGAACATATGGGAGATTAGCATAGTTTAAATTTATCAGAATTTGCATATTAATAGGATTATACCATTTAAAGAGAGAAGACACCCTTCCCTCTGGAACCTTGAGAACCCAGAGGCTGGAAAGATGGCCTTCCTCTTGCTGATTTCCCACAGTCCTCATTGTGGGGGTGGGGGTGTCAGGTTGAAGCCTTACCTTGATAACTGCTGCTAAGGTCTGGGCTGGCTGCACATCCCGTTTGTGACTTGGGTTGGAGCTGGTGTGGCTGATTCTGAAACAGCCTCCAAGGAGGCTAGGGGTAGGATGTGGTACTTTGGTATTAGTGCCCTTTGGGAACTGAAGTTCATTCCTGGAGAAAATCGCCCAATGGAGCCATTTGGCATCCCTGAGGATTCAGGATCAACCACCTTGGTGAGTGGCATGCCACGCTGTCTGACAGTTTTACACTAATATCCATTCTCCCACTTTGAGTCAACTGTTTTCATACCGTCTCTGCTCTAAACTTCTGCCCCCTACCCCTGCCTCTCAGGTTCTGTACCTCCTCCCTAGTAGAGGATGTAGGAGCCAACCGTCAGGAGTGCCCTCAACTTGCTGCCATTGATTCTACAAGCTTCCTGCATGTTGCAGCAGAGGTGTCCCTCCTGCCATCATGGGCCAATCCCTCCATGTGCTCTGGGTCACCTCCCCTCTTCCGTTCTCTCCTTCCTCTCTCTCTCTCTCTTTTTGCAGCCTCTCTAGTCTCCACTCCATCATCACTAAAAGTCCTTCCTTGTCTCGGCATCTTTCTTAAATGTCAGATCTTAGGGGCTCAGTCTCGGCCTCTTTTCTCACTTCTACACACTCTCCTCGTGCGATCTTATCTACCTCTGTGGTTAGAACCCCACCTCTGTGCTGCCTTTGTCTCTCTGGCCCACATTTGTATCTAACCCAGGTCTCTTCTCTCAGCTCCAAGACCCCTGTCTCTAGTTGCTTACTTGAGATCTCAAATCTAACACATCTAAACCGGATCTCTTGATTCTCCCCTCCCAAATCTGCCGTTTGCTAGCCTTCTCTACCTCAATAAATGGCATTTACTCCTGTCACAAACCTGGGAGCTATCCTTGTCACCTCTGTCTCTTCCCACCTCCATCCTAAACAAGCCTGAGGACCTGCTTCTAACTTATCTTTCCGGTTTGTTCACTTCTTTCCACCCCTCAGTTGTAAGCCGTTATCTCTCACCGTGACCAAAGCCCTCAACTGCTCATTCTGCAGCTGCTCATGTCCCTTCCAGTCCATTCTCCACCACTGACCAGTGTGACATTTTAAAATGCACATGCAATTGTCAGTCCCCTGCTTGCAGCCTTCTAGTAGATTCTCATTGTGCCTTGG